TTTGAGGTTCACACAAAATGCTAGTGCGCTTAAAAAGATTTACACTAACATTTTATGTCTGTATGAATCATCACTCTAGCATCCCACTGGCACAAAATGAAGCTACACACCTACGGTGTACAATTTGGAGGTACAAATAGCTAGTGCGATTAAAAAATTAGAGGTTTCCACAGACACAAAATGCTAGTGCGATTAAAAAATTTGCAATAACACTTTGTGTATGTAGTATGAACCATCACTTTGTGTCTGTAGCTTAATCCATGAAGCAGGAAATGCAACAATGTTTGACTGGTGCACATTGAAACCTTAAAAAGCCAGTAAGAACATTAAAAGCCATCATTGAAAAAAAAACTAGTGTATATACAAAACCCACAAAATTAAACTTGTGATGGGTCTTTAAAGAAGAAGAAAAGCCATTATTGACTAAATTACACCATGAGAACCCTTTTTCCCTGGAACACAGAAATTCTGGTTCAAGGGTAGCCCCAATTACTCAAATAAAATCAAACAACCCAAAATTTCGGACTAGAGAGAAGGTATTCCAATAAATGAAATTGAAAATGAAAAGTCCGTGGTGATGAACAACAGAAATACCGAGAATCCCGGAGCAACATTTGCGGTGTTCGAATCATGAAGATGATGAAGATTTGAATTCCCCTCCGTCTAAAGGACGACGACGACTTGGGCATAGTTGAAAATCTTTTTTTTTTCTTCAAATCATATTACGAGTATCCGAGATTTAAAAAATATTTAAAATATGAAATAAAATAGAATCAGATCATATCACATTCAGAGATTCAAAATGAGACTCATTCATTTTACCTTGTGTGAATCTCGCCAAAAGTGTTAGAGAGCAACCCCTTCCTCTTTGAAAAGTGTGCGATTAAACGGTTCGTATATAATTTTTCATTTTATTTTTTGGCCAAAGTCTATGTATAAAAAATATAAATTGTGTTTCGATATAAATATAATATCATTAGTTTTATATGTTTAAAATTTTAAATTTAAATAAAATATATCAATTTATAAATAAAGATATTAATGAACAAAGTCTTCAATTAGAAATCCTAAAAAATCAAATAAGAAGATTATTTACTCCACATAGGGAGTATTTGTTTCTTACAAAAAAGGTGTAAAAGTAACTTTTAAACATCTTAAAAACGTGTTCAATCATTTCAAAGACTAGGAGTTTTTTTGAATGTCAAGATGTGTTGTGAAGTCTTTTAATTTTTTTTTTTTTGTAGATTAACTTTAAGAATATTAATATTAGATAATTTTTTAAAGATAGTAAACCTAAACAAATTTCTTCCATATACAATTTACTGAATGTGTCTATAAAATTTATCCATTTTAAAAACTAATAAGCAAAAAAATAATTAACAATCAAGTTTGAACATATAAATAATAAAAGTACTCCGTAATAATTAAACTAAAGGTACATAATATATATGCTACTAAAAAAAAGGTGTAAATATATGCGACAAAGAATTATTTACACTTATTCCTAAATTATAATGGAGTTCTTTATTTTTATTTTTTAGCTCTAGAATTCTTTATTTTAATGTGAGAATTAGTTCAGACAAATAAATCCTGAGAAAAACAAAAGTGATACTCTGCAACTAAATAATGGATATTAAGACTTTCACAAAAATATGCAATTTCACGCTTTCATTTTTTTTAAAAAAAATATTAATTACTATGATAAATAATAATAATGCTCCAAATTATTGTTTTCTTTACATATTTCATTTCTGTTGACTTGAGACTAGAAATTCATGATAACTATTAGGCCCGTCTTGGAATAACATTTTGAAATTGGGATTAGTGTTTTGAATATATAACTATGAAAACGCTAACGGGATACACTTTATGTAGATAACTTTTTCAAAACACTAAATGCTAATCATAAAAAAAATTCAAAACGCTAACGCTAAATAAGCGAAATGGAATTAATCCTTATGGTTGAAAAACGGCATGGGGTGTTTACTTACTTGGGTCAATTTCACAGCTAATAAGCTCCAAAACAACGTTCCTCCCCAGCTTATCAGCAAAAGCGTCAAAGCTTTTAATAAGAGCGTCCACCAATAATAAGCCCTCCCCCGCCTTATTCCTCACCGTCACCGTCGCCCTCACCTTATACTTCACCGCCTTCTCCGCCACCATTTTGAACACTCTCGGCTCCACGCTCACCGCCTCCACCGCCATCCGCCGCCGCCCCTCCGCACTCCTCCTCCAAGGCCGCCGGAGAGGACCGCAGCGGCCCCGCCCAGCCAGATTCACCAGCGCATTCTTCGGATAAATTCGGTACGAAGGAGCCGCTGTTTCCATCACAGCTGATATGGCCAAGAACTCGTTTGCTAGCGCCATGTTTGTTTGTTTTGTTTTGTTTTGTTTTTTCTTCTCTCCCCTTTTGAAAGTTTCCTCCGTTTGGGGTTAAAAAGTAGTTGAAGGATCGGATATATGAAGAGTTTTTTTTTTTTTAAGAATGGACGATATGATTTAAGAAAGGTTTATTATTGGGTCATTATATTTATGTAGTGGGAATTTGAAGGATGGAAATTTGAAAAAATAATCCACATAATGATGCCATCAATTATTTCAGTCCCTGAAAAAATACTTCCTCGGAGGGAATATAACAATATTTTATTTTGTTTTATTAACAATGAAAATACACAGGTAAACAAAGAGTTATAGAGATAAAAAAAATAGTAGTAAGTGGTATGCTTATTTTGGGATGAGTGGAGTAAATATTTTATATGTAGAATTTATTTTGATTAAAGAAAAATTTTTTGTGAGTTACGCATTCATTTCAATGCCAAACACGCCCTAAATACTTTCTTTGTAGGTGTTTTTTTATTTATAAGTTGGTCAAAATTATTTATAAGCTACTTTAATTTGTATTTTCAACTTATAAACAAGTTATTATTGTAATTATTTTTTAAGCTAATTTGACCAAATCACTTACAAAACTTTATTTAGCATCTATAAATATCTACAAATAACTGATTTAAGCCATTTTAAAAAAAAATTAATAAAGAGTTTAGGGAGTACGGAGTATAAGTTAAAAATTACTCCATATTTAAAACGCCTTTTTATTCAAAATTCTTACGGATACTCATGTACGAAACTCTTTCCCTCCCTTGTCCTTTTGTATACTCCTTTTTCTTCTCTTTGATTTCTTTGCCTCTATTAATCTTCTTATGCACATGTTTCAAAAAGTAAACTTCTTATTTTCCTTAATTATTTTCTAGGGGAAAAAATGTGAATCACATTATTTCTTCATTCTCAAATGAAATTTTGATCATATAATTTTTATTTTCTTAAATTTTATAAAATTAAAGTCTAAAGTTCATTTTAGAAAAGAGTGTTTCTTTAGTAGACTTTAAGGTCTTCACTGCTTCTATGTATTTTCTCGTACAAAAAAATTCATATGTTTTCTTATTTTTAATTTTTTACAAAAATGTTCATCACTATAGTAAGCATTATTGCCTAAGGATTAAGTCGATCTACATAAAAACGTGTGGATCTAATTAGAGCATCAACAATGGCGTGTTGAAGTTGATGCCTCGATGCAATCTTGCTACCATTTTATTTTTTATTTTATTTATTTTCTTTTTTTAGGAAAAAAATCAATTGTTTTTTCAGTAAGTAATACGAGTAATATTTTTACGATAAAATAAATAAGTATAATTATTTTTTTAAATATTAAAATATGTCAAAAAAATGTAAAAAAGATAATAAAAGCAATGGCTTGCACTATAAGGTTTGTCACTCAACTCACTTGTCAAACATCGACTGAATTATTTTTTATTAGTTGAAATATTTCACGTTAGCGTGTGATATTCTATTTTTTTTGCTTGCCAACCCACCTTCTATATTTTTGGTCCTTCTAAACAACAATATTCTTAATTTGGTGTATAAAAACAATAATACTCCCTCATCAGTTTATAAATAATAAAAAAAGAAACCTCCCTTAATGGATTGTTGGTGTAAAGAAAGTTTAATCCATCAAAGAACTACGGAGTAATTCATTCCTTCCTCATTTGTCTTGAGATTTGGCCGAATCAAAGGAAGAAAAAGGAGACATATCTCATCTGGAAGAGCTTAGTCCTTAGTCTTCATTTGTTATCAATCACCAATTCTTTATCTCACGTTTAAAATAAAAAAATTATTGTATTCTTTCAGACTTTCTTTGTAATTAACGAGACGAGTTCTCAATTAGGATGGATTTTCTTCATTTGCAATCATTATATGCATTAAGAACTACCCCTCCGTCCCTGTAAAGTGAAAACATTTCTCTTTTAATTTTTTATCTATCACAAAAAAAAAATTTTATATTAAAAATTTATTTTTATCCATACTATTTCTGAATATATTTATCACATTATATCTATTTACTACTCCGTATTAATCTATCCATCAAATTCTACATTTTCTCATCACATCCAAAGATATTTTTAGAAATTCAACACCAAAATACACTCTTCTTAAATCCCTTAAAAAACAAAATTTTTCATGTTTTCAGGTACAAAAAGAGTAAAATATAAGGCCATATTTTACTTTAGAGTTTTAATTTTATAGTTAACTTATTCAAATTTCATGTTTTAGTTACTACACAGGAAACTTCATACTCCCTCCGTCCCTTTGAGTCTTACCCATTTTGACTTTTTAGCAAAATAAGGGGACCAATTTTTTGCTTTGACTTCCCCAATTTACCCCCCAACCCTAATCAAAAAGCAAAATTGCAATGAACTCATGAATAGTGTAAAGCAAATTTTATAGCTAGTGGAGTACGCATCACATTGACTATGGCAGGCAATCATACCCCAAAAAACCCATCCGTACTGCCCATGTCTCATACTACAGGGATTACATTCACCATCACCATACATTACATTCATTAAATTTGTTTAGATGGTGAATTTTTTTGGGAAAATTTGATATTCCCTCCAAAACACCCCTCCAAAACCTAAACAAAAAATTACAAATTCATACAGGCACTGCATATTTAAATGAATGCATTGAATGCATTCATTTCACTTATCTTCTTCACTTTATTATCTTTATCTTCTTACTGGCCCGGTTGCCTTCAATGCCCCCTCCCGAGCAGCCTTCTTCACCTTCGTCTTTATCGACACATGACTCCTCGTCGTTGCACCATCTACCCGATGTTATACAAGTCCCCTTCGACAACCTTTTCACCCCTGCTGCAGAAACAGAAGCACAAAGTAAAGGAGCTCAACTTAATCAAAAAAGAAGAAGAGTTGCTGATGTTTTACTAGAAAAGTCAAAGGATGGCAAACTTCAGCACGGTTTAATCAGCAAAGTTGCTGAGGAATTCAGCTTTACAAGGAAAACTGTGAGCAACATTTGGCAAATTGTTAAAGCTCAATTGGACTTTGGCCTACCTATTGATGTTCAATGCCATTGGAAAGGAAGTTGTGGCAAAAAAAGGGTCCCTGTAGACATGGAAAAACTGGCAGCTATCCCGCTGTCTAGACGCAAGAACATGCGTGCACTTAGCTTTGCTATGGAGGTTTCAAAATCCACAGTCCACAGATGGCTAAAGCGCATTCTCTATTCCTCTGTAAGATCACGATATTTCGGTATGAATACACTCAGTCCATTCGTTTTTTCTGACTTTAAGTGTCTTGACCATATATCTCCTCAATCACTCCCCATAAGCCCAACTTTTCATGATTTTTATGATCACATTCACATTGATGAAAAATGGTTTGAAATCACCAAAAAAAACACAACATTCTATGCTCTTCCAGAGGAACCTGACCCCTACAGAACCACTCAAAGCAAAAGCTTCATACCAAAGATCATGTTCCTGGCTGCAGTAGGTAGGCCAAGGTATGGGGAGGGTGGAGATGTGTTATGGGATGGGAAAATAGGCATTTTCCCATTCACTTTTGAACAGGAAGCACAAAGGTCTAGTAAAAACAGGCCTGCGGGGACATTGGAAACAAAGGCTGAACCAACTGTGAATAGAGATGTTATGAAGAGAATGTTACTGACTAATTTGATACCTGCAATTAAGCAGAAATGGCCTGGGTCATCAAGGGATATTATTATCCAACAAGATAATGCTAAGCCTCATGTGGATGGCAATGACCCTGAAATTGTAGCTGCTGCTCAAGAAGGGGACTGGAACATTCAACTGAAATTCCAGCCCCCCAACAGCCCTGATTTAAATGTACATGATCTAGGATTTTTTAGATCCATTGACTCAGTACAAGACCAAACAGCTCCTAGGTCATTGACAGACTTGGTTAAGCCTGTTACAACAGCCTTTGAAGAACTATCACATGACAAACTAAACAATGTCTTCTTAACTCTACAAGGGGTGATGGGTGAGATACTCAGTCACAATGGAGGAAACCAATTCAAAATTCCTCATATGGGAAAAAGTAAGTTGGCCAGACAAGGAATACTACCACAGAATTTGGGAGTAAGCACAGAAGTGTATGAGAATGCACAAAAGTTCTTATAGGAACATATGTAAGTACTTAATGATTAAGTACTTTTTTGTTGTGTGTGCAAAGGTGGTCAAGGAAAGGTACAATATCTATATGTACTTCCAAGTGAACCTTTTGCACATTCTTTTTGCTTTTTGTTGGCCTAGAATGCCATTTTTTGCTTTTTGTAAAAGTATATCATATTCTGATCAAGTGTAGCATATAATAGGGACTGCACAATTTTTGCTTTTTGTAAAAGTATATCATATTCTGATCAAGTGTAGCATACAATAGGGACTGCACATTTTTTGCTTTTTGTAAAAGAATATCATGAAGTGTATCAAGTGCAGCAAAGTTTTATTGGAATGAAGTGTATCAAGTGCAGCAAATGTATCAGATAGAGGCAACAAATAGGACCTGCCCTGAGCATTGTTCTTTAGAAAATATTTTAGGAATCAAGTGTAGTAAATGAACCAGAGAAATAGATAAAGGCAATAGAATCAAGTGTAGGACCTGCCCTAATCAGGTGTTGTAAATGAACCAGAGAATTAGAAAGAGGCAACCCATGTTGTAATCAAGTGTAGGACCTGCCCTAAGTCCATGTTAAGTGTAAAGCAAAATATTATAGTAAGTGGAGTACTCAACTGCCCATATGTTTCAAACAGGGATTACATTCACCCAATTCACCATCAAACCCCAAATTTTCACCACCAAGCCCCTCTCACAGAACAAACAATATGATAGACCAGACCAATACAGTGTTGTAAGTCTCCAACCCATAGGGGGTGACATTACAATATAGCTAAACCCAAAAAAAGCTCACAGACTTCCAACCATTCACACAAATTTTGTTTGCATCATAAGTTTGCCAATAAACATTATACAGAGTATATAATGGGACATGCAAGTACTAATCGTATGTGAATCTAAAGAGGAAGAACATAATACTCTGTCTGTAACGCAGTGCTTTAGCCTCATCTCCATAGGGCTCAGATAAAATTATTTATGTATCAGACATCTCCAAGATCTGGGCAGAAGTTACTGATTCCCCATCTTCCCCATCAGATTCGACACTGCCTCCTTCATCCTCAGACGGAAAGAAGTCACCCCCCAAATATGTTTTCCGATACCACCACGTCGGATCTGTATCATCCGTGCCAGATGCGCTATCACCAGAGTCGTAAGGAGGTATCAGTGATTTTTTAGATTCATGAGGTGGCTGGGGAGATGCCATTTCATCTTTGCTATCGCTTAAAAGCTTGAAGGAGGGCATGGTAGGATCGCGACCCACCATTTTTGGTGAATTCTTGAGGGTGCCGGCGGCGATGGGGAAGAGGAACAGCAGCCACAGAGAGAGGGATAGAGGAGAGAAGATGAATGGATGAGGGGATGCGTAGGAGAGACTAGAGAGGATGAATGGATGGTGGGTGGGGTAAGAGGGTGGGGGGTAGAAATTAGGTTTAAGGGTAGGAATGTCATTTTTTGGCAAATGTGTATATGTTTGTGGGACAAAAATTTTATGAAAGGGGTAAATCTTTATGGGACGGAGGGAGTAAGTATTTTTTAAACGATGTATTCATATTTCTATTACATTTTTTTAAAAATAACTAAAATTATTGAGTTAGCAATATACGGATTATTATATATACTCTCTCTTCCCATAAGTAAAAGTCTTAGTTTGATTGATTTAAATTGACTTACGGAAAGAGGTGTGGTACAGTGCTATTTAAACCTGAGAATCATAGCACACCTCTTAATGTATACTCCCTCCGTCTCACTCTCTTTGTTTACTTACTTTTTGGCACACCATCGGACCATTCAATGCACTTCTTTAATCCATTTTATCTTGTAATTTGTATATTAAAAAATTATAGAAAATATATATTAATAATTTATATGTTAAGACAAATCAAACAAGATCACACATGACTATATTTAGGCTTACACATTGAGAAAATTTGATGAGTCAAAGTGCTTAGATGAACAGCTTCAAAAGTTAAAAGTGGACAAAGAGTGTGGGACGGAGGTAGTACTCCGTATAATACTCCTTCCGTCCCCTGTTTTTGTCCACTTTCATTTTTACACATCATCCAATACACTTCTTTAATCCATTTTATCTTGTAATTTGTATATTAAAAAATTATAAAAATTATATATTAATAATCTATATGTTAAGACAAATCAAACAAGATCACACATAACTACATTTAGACTTACACATTGAGAGAATTTGATAAGTCAAAGTGCTTAGATGAACAGCTTCAAAAGTCAAAAGTAAACAAAAATTAGAGGACGGAGAGAATACTTCGTAAGACTTATACTAAGAGGTGTGCACACCTCTTACACATACTCTCTCTTATCTTCAATTAACTAAGACTTATATTAAGAGAGGTGTGCTAGAGTGCTATTTAGATCTAACAATTGTTTCAATCAAATTAGTTGTAATTTGAATATCTTTCCGATATGTGTATAATCAATTGAGTTCAGTTTAGATTAAATTCATTTGGCTTCAAAACAAATCCATGCAATTTCTATTTTCGGTTTGGTTCGAATCAATTTAGTTAATGTTCGGATATAAATCGATCCAAATTGAATTTTGGTGACACACGCACACACACACACAAACACACACACACACACACATATATATATATATATCAAGTATTTCTTTTTAAGTTTCGATGAAAAGATTGGATTGAACCACCTTCAAAGGTTGGACAATAAGACACTTGAGCTGAACCACATTAAATAATTGAATTAAATCAATTATTTGGTTCAATCCAAGAGCTTATATACCGATTTATTTTATCTTTAAGTTTTGACGTGTGATATCCTTTAACACTCTTGCTGGACAACTATGTTATTTTGAATCTAGCTAACCGATTGGCCACTTGTAAATGGATTATCCCCCCTAGGAAATGAAAGGATCGAAAGTGTCAACATATAAAAGATTACGAATCGATAGGCATGAACATCTATACGAATAATCAGGTTATATGGGCCACAAGCCATTTTTGCACACAGACAACTTGGCTAAGGACAAATGCACCACTAGTAATTAACTTCTAAACGGACATCTTAGCAAATGCAATGGGCTTTTAGAACAGCAACGGCAGACGACTTAGTGCCAATCAGGCAATCAAGTGCATAATTTTTAGAAATCGAGCTCACATACCATGATAAAATTTCGGTGGGTCGAGAACAACGGGTAGAGCATCGGGTAAAATTAACCACATGCATTTAAAATCGGGATTCATTATTCTAACACAAAAATTTAAGCTGATAGGTACGATTTCACCCTTTTAAATATGCTACTAGTATTTATCTTTATTTTCTGATGTGGAAACTCTAACACTCCCCCTCAAGTGCTAACAATCCTGAACAAACGAGTCTAGCATCTCAATCTTTTATCGGTAGCCCACACAACAGATGGTGACACCTATTTTTAGCCAACTCAACCCAAACTACAGACGTGTAGCTCTTTTTTTGCTAAACCCACGTTCAACAACCAGGAAGAATCGAATCCGAACATGCTCTGATACCATGTTAAAATTAAGATGGGAAAAGGTTACTAGATTGGATAATAAAACACTTGGATTGAACTACATTAAAAGATTGAGTTCAATCAATTAATTAGTCCAACTCAAGAATTTATATATCAATGCATTTTATCGAATGTTAGTTATGCTTTTGCATACAAGTTAGATTGGGGTCCCCCCATCCCTCTTGATTAAAAAAATAAAAATAAAATATGGCCAAATAGCGCCAGTACCTCCTGTGGTTTGCAAAATAGGCGCCAAAACCTCATCTGTTTTTAAAACTTATTTCTAAAGTCCTTGTGATTTCAAAATATTGTACCCGTGCCCCCTCTGATTATTTTCTGGCCATTTTTCCAGGGAAGAAGGGGGGCATTGCTGCATATTTACTAAACTACAGGGGTATCGGTGGTGATATTTATTTCTCGCTTATTTTTTTGTTTATTTTCCATTTTTTTCCTTTATTTGTTTTTTTATTAATAAAGGTTTTTTTAAAATTATTTTTATAATGTTCATAAAATTTAAAGTTAATTTTTTTTGAAAAAATTAACATATAATGTATATGTATTTCTCAAATCAACAATTTTTGTTTTTTCTAAAAAAAGTAAACATTTTTTTTGAGAATTTCAAAAAAATGAGGAATAAAATAAGAAACAAAATAATAAAAAAATAAAAAGTGAATATCTTTTTTGAACATCTCAATTCTAGGGACTTTTTTAGACTTGTCCATTTTTTTGTATCGTACTTTTTTGTGTATTTTTATTTTTCATTTTATTTTTCCATATTTTTATTTTTGTATTCTAGGTTTTTCTTTTTGAACTTTCCAAATAAGTACGTAACAAGAAGTGAAAATGTTTAATTTCAAATAAATGCAATGTATGTTAATTTTTTTATTTTTATTTTTATTTCAAACACAAAAAATTTTAAAATTTTAAAACATTATAAAAAATTGAAAATAAATTAGAAAAAAATCTAGGAAAAGAAAAAAAAAGAGATAGAAAATATTTAAAGAAATATAAACACAAATAATAAACGAAAAATAAAAATGAGCACGAATGCCCCTTATGGTTTAAAAATTATGCGCAAATGCCCCCTCTTCGGAAAATGATCAGAGTGAGAACCGGTGCAGCATTTTGAAACCACGAGGACTTTAGAAGTAAATTTTGAAAATAGAAGGGATATTGGTGCTAATTTTTCCAAACCACAAGGGGCACCGGAGCTATTTGGCCATAAAAATATTAGTCCACCATGAGTCTCAATTGCTGCCGTTAATCACTTCATCTTCAAATCTTCCCGACTCTTCCTGTAGAAAACTATAGGACGTTGAACTGGCTATTCCATTGATACAAGAGAATATAAATATACATCGGTGATACAAACGAAGAGTCATCTAGGTGATACACACGAGGAGTCCAGCCCTATGCAATGAATACTTCTATAAAACCACATGGGCTAACAATACATGGGCTAACACTCCCCCTCAAGTTGGAGCATGAATATCATAAATGCCCAACTTGGACAATAAACAGTGAAATAAAGGACCGGACAATGCTTTGGTGAAGATGTCCGCAGTCTGGAGACGCGTAGGAACATAAGCTGTGACAACATGATTTCGCTGGATGCACTCCCGAACGATATGAGAGTCAATATCAATGTGCTTCGAACGCGACAGGATTTGCAGCAATAAACAAAGCAGATTTATTATCACAATATAAACGAGGAGTTGTCACACAAGGAACTTCCAAAGCAGCCAAGAGCCCACGCAACCACCTTATCTCAGCACAAGCATTAGCCATGGCTCGATATTCAGCCTCTGCCGAAGAACGGGAAACGGTAGTTTGCTTTTTAGTGCGCCATGAAACCGGAGAACCACCCAACAGAATAAAATACCCAGTGACAGAGCGCCTAGTAAGTGGACAGCTTGCCCAATCTGAATCAGAAAAAGCAGTAAGAGCAAGATTACTATCACTACGCAATAGAACACCTTGACCGGGATGTCCCTTAAGATACCGCACGACACGAAGAGCCGCGTTCCAATGGTCAAGACGCGGTGCCTGCATAAATTGAGAAAGTGTATGGACTGCATAACAAATATCAGGGCGAGTAATAGTCAGGTAAAGTAAACGGCCCACAAGACGACGATACTTGAGGGGATCTCGAATCTCAGCACTATTCGAACGAGCCAAAGCATGATTGACTGGTAATGGAGTATCAACAAGCTTACAACCATCGAGATTAGCTTCGTGAATTATGTCAAGAGCATACTTCCGTTGATTAAGAACCATACCATCACGGGAACGAGCACACTCAATTCCCAAAAAATAGGAGACAGGGCCAAGGTCCTTAAGATTGAAACAGTCGTCCAAATATTTCTTGAAAGAGGAACACAATGAACTGTTGTTACCGGCCACTAGAATATCATCAACATAAACAAGGACAACCAGCATGTCTGGGCCACGTCGTAGAACAAAGAGTGTATGGTCCGCATGTGCTTGTCGAAAACCATAACGCCGTAGAGCAATACTGAGTTTAGTGAACCAATTACGAGGAGACTGACAAAGCCCATATAAGGATTTACGAAGACGACAAACCTTCCCGGGAAATAAATGGGTATAACCCGGAGGGATTTTCATATATATCTCATCTTGTAAATCCCCATGCAAAAAAGCATTATTGACATCCAACTGATCAACTTGCCAACCCCGAGCAACTGCAACAGATAACAAGACATGAACAGTGGCTAACTTTGCAACAGGAGCAAATGTATCTGTATAATCAACCCCAGGCTCTTGATGGTTGCCTAAAACAACAAGCCGAGCCTTATCACGTTCCTTAGTACCATCGGAACGATACTTAGTCCTGTACACCCATTGACAACCAAGAGCCCGACGATTAGGAGGAAGATCAACGATATCCCAAGTGTGATTACGCTCTAAAGCTAGATACTCAGCAGCCATAGCTTCACGCCACGTAGCAAACGGAACAGCCTCACGAAAATTGCGTGGTATGGAGGTGGCATCAATTGCTCCAAGAAAACCTTTGTACCTGTCATGCAACTTATTAAAATGAACAAAGTTAGTAATAGGGAACCGAGTACCCGATTGTGATGAACCTGAGGAGACCGGAATCGGAGAGACAGTCTTTGCGGAATTGAGAACATAGTCATTGAGATGAGCTGGACGACGACGCGTACGCGGTGGAAGAGAAGGAACTGTTTCCGGTGGAGAAGTGGTCTCCACCGTGGATGACCCTGACCCTGGGTTGGCATCATCTGAAGAAGAGGCAGGAGAATCAGTCGAAACAGGGAAGGAAGAGGATGATGATGGTAACTGAGATGAGGGCGGGGACTGTGAAGTGGATGGCAATATGGGGGTGTTGGGTACAGGAATGGGAAAATCCTCTGATGACGGTGTGAGGATAGGTTGTGAGATAGCTGATGGAGTGGGGATAGCAAATGGAAAAATAGATTCATCAAATGAAAGATCCCGCGTGTGGAAAAATTGGTGTGTTTCGAGATTGTAAACCCGCCAACCCTTGGTACCATATGGGTATCCAACAAACATACATTTGACACTCCTTGGAGAAAATTTGTTTTTGGGTTTGGGAATAGGATGAACAAAACAGAGACATCCAAAAACACGAAGATGACTGAGATCTTGAGGCTTGGAAGAAAGGATTTCAAGAGGAGACTTACCCCCGAGAATTTTCGTGGGAGTACGATTAATTAAATAAACTGCAGTTTTGACACACTCCTCCCAAAATTCAAGTGGAAGAGACGCCTGAAACATGAGTGAACGAGCAACATTTAATATGTGACGATGTTTACGCTCTACTCGTCCATTCTGCTGGGGAGTACCAACACACGATGTTTGTATGCGCACGCCCAGGCTATCATAATATTGACGCAATGAGGAATTCAAAAACTCTGTACCATTGTCAGAGCGGACTATTTTGATAGTTTTGGAGTATTGGGTGTGAATCATCGTAAAAAAACCTTTTAAACAGGAAGCGACTTCACTTTTAGATTTAATGAGATAAACCCAAACAGCCCGAGAAAAATCATCAACAATAGTCAGAAAATAATGAGCCCCAGAAGATATGCAAGGTGAATAAACAAATCACAATGAATTAAATCAAAAATAGCATCAGCTTTATTATCACTAACAGGAAATGATGAACGAGTTTGTTTAGACAAGAAACAAATTTCACAAGTCTGTAATTTTTTGACAACAGATTGTGTTTTATTGGTACCTAGGAAAGGGAGTACATCCACGGATGGGTGTCCCAACCGTTTATGAAGAACAATAGGATCGATATTTGCTACGAGGGCTGACGCTGGAGAGGAAGCAAAGACATACACGCCGTTTCGCAAATCACCCTGTCCAATCACAATCTTCGACGAATGGTCCTGTATTACACAACGATGATCATTAAAAGTTACACAACAAATATTGTCACGAATTAAACAAGCAACCGAAATTAAGTGGCACTGTAAGTTTGGTACGTATAACACATTACGTAATACCAAACGAGATGATAAATGCACACTCCCCTGTTTGACAGCTTGAACACGAGACCCATCAGGGAGACATATAGGTTTAGGAGAAACATCCTCAATATTAGATAAATGAGACATGGTTCCTGTCATATGATGAGAAGCACCACTATCAATCAACCAGTCACAAGAATGAAGAGGCATGCCATCCGATAGATTATCACGAACTGTATTAGACGACATGGCATGTGTGGTAGAAAAATATGGGTGTAAGTTGTTGCTAATTTGGAATTGAGGACCTTCCTCCATGTGGCTAAATGGCGGCTGAATTGAGGTGAAAATTATGCCTCCTTAGGAAATTATCCCTTAAAATTTTAATATCCACTTTAATAATTGAGGTTCTCCACTTTTCAATTGCCGACTATGTATGTCTGGACGGATGGGGCGGCGATCCTGGATGATTTGCGACGGACGATTTAAACACCGACTGACTGGACGGACACTTCACTGGACGGACAATTTAAAGGCCGACAGATTGGTCGGATTGAACTCTTGGGATGACGGGCGGACAAAGGTGACGATGGATGATTAACACCTATACTGCAACCGGTGACCGCCTGAAACATGCGAACAAGGAGACAAAGGACGATTGCTAAGCGAACGGAAACTACTAGGAACCCAAGAACGCTTTGATACCATGTAGAAAACTATAGGACGTTGAACTGGCTATTCCATTGATACAAAAGAATATAAATATACATCGGTTATACAAACGAAGAGTCATCTGGGTGATACACACGAGGAGTCCAGCCCTATGCAATGAATACTTCTATAAAACCACATGGGCTAACAATACATGGGCTAACACTTCCCTTTAATTGGAGCTCTGTTCTGAGCTCTTTCCAACTCCCAGAATTACTGTAACTAACAATGATCCAAAATTCAAAATGTAGAAGACGAACGGGATGCAGATGTCTATGAAAACGGAACAATCAAATCTATTCGGAAAAAAATTCATATTCTTACATCATTTATTATAAACTTTGAAATTTATCAGAAATAAATCTCACAGTAAAAAGCATTAATAGCCAGCTTGATGGCGGTTTGACAAGTGAGCCTATGAGCTGTTTGTAACTCGAACGCAGAAACAGTGAAAATCGAAATTAGCATAAATTTTGATTTCTCCGAAACAGAGGTTTATAGATCGAGTTTTCGTAGAAGAAGAAGAAGAAGTATGGAGGGCGGCGAGGCGCTGAGAACGACCTGGAGAAGCTTCAAGCGGCGGCTGCAATTCAGCGGGATCGCCTGCTGTGGATCCCCGAGGAGTCTGAGAGTTCCAAGCTCGACGATCAGCGACGAAGAGGCCCAATTGAAAGACCCGGCCCAGATCGAGCTGGCGGAGGAAGACGACCAGGAGGAGGAGATGCAGCGAGGCCGGTTCAATCTGGCCATGGCCCTCGCCGCCGAGCGCGATTCGCGGAGGGCGGCTCCGGCCGCCCAGATGAAGACGCTCGTGAGGTTATTCGAGGAGGCGGATGGCCGGGAGGGGAACAGCGCGGGCTCCGCCGCGAGGGACGGCGGAGGAGGAGGAGGAGGCGTTGGCGGGCCGTGCGGCGTGTGCGGGGAGAGGAATCGGGGCGCGGCTTTGATTCCCTGTGGGCACACCTACTGTAGGGCGTGTTCCCGAGAGTTTTGGTCAAACGGAGGGTCCTGCCCGTCATGCAACCGTCCGATTCGGGACATCCTCCCTATTTTTTGATTTTATTAATGGCCATTTAATTTTTGCATTATTTCTTTTAATTTTTAATTAGAAGAATTAAACCATTTCAATTACTATATTGTTCTGACCTGTGGACATTTTCATTGAAGTTTGAGTTATTTACGGAGTAATTGCTTAGATCGTTCCAATTTCCAGCTTTTCAAATATCAAAAAGAGTAATTTTAGATATGACAAGATATGATTTATGAAATAAAAAAAAAGTGATATGAATTTTGAAATCTGAAACAAATTTGTTTGGAAAAATTTTAATTCATGTTAAGCGAAGTGACCGAATGAAAATGGAGGTGGTTGATGATGACAATGGGTGTCAGTGACGTAGAATAATCAATGGTTGAGAGAGATATCAAACTCATATTGATATCTCTCAAATTCGAGGGATATCAAAATTCTCTATTTCAAGGATTAATGATATCAGAAGAAATCAAATTCAATATCTTTTTTGGCTTTACCAATCACCCAAAAAGAATTCTGATATCTGGAAATATCAAAATTCATATCTTGTTTGCTCACCAAACACATCCTAAACTCTTCAAAAATTGCACGTATTTCTAATTAATTCTAAAAAAATTGCACTAATGGTTTTTGAATATTTAAAAATATTGCATTAATAATTTTTCTGTGCTAGATTTAAGAGTACATTAATTACATGCTACTTTAAGAATACATTAACTACATGAATTATACATGAGTTTTGTAATGTGTTCTTGGCTCTTCTCAGACATTATTTAATTTTTTATATTTTTAACCTCCTGAAACTCTAGATTATTATTCTTGGTTGAGTAGTCGATAACCGAACTCGAATCTTGAACTTCAAGCCGATCAATCTTTTCATCAGACGACGGTGTATTCATCAAACTTGACAAATATATTGATGGACGAGTAATTTATACACACCTAAATCTAGTATAGAAAATCATAAAATAAACATGCACGTGTACTTTGGAGTTTAGGAGATTTAGGAGATTTTGACTTTAGATTTTGGAACATTAAATAAAGGGTTATACATGTTTCCTATTTGCCTCGTATTTAGAGCATAGTATATTACTCCCTAGTATTCTTAACCACCTCTATTTCGACAAATCTACAATTAGATGTTAAGTCAAGTCATCAAAAAATCATAATCCGTAATAACTGAAATTTATACTCACTCCGTCCCAAATTATTTGCCACATTTGCTTTTTCAACAGTCACAAGAACTTTTGTTTATTTCTATGTTTTCATTGGTTATTTGATAAAATAAAATATTCTTGACGCCTCTTATTTCGAAGAACTTTTCATGTAGTTTTTTGATATTTAATTTTTATTTTTTATTTCTTTACCAATATGTAAATAAAATAAATTGAAAAAACTTGATATTTTTCCACGGTAATAGAAATGTGATAAATAATTTTGGACGGAGGGAGTACAATTATTATCGTTGAATTAATTAAATTCGTATTGAAACACAAACACACCGTAGCATGGACAATTATCGTTTGTGTTTGTCTATGCAAATCATGAGTGTACCTATGGTACCATCCATGTGGTAGCACCCTAGCATGAGCCTTGGCTATAAGACTCTCCCTCCTCGCTGAAAGGCTTTGAGCATGACAATTATTATCTCGATCTCTGAGTATTTGTCTAGTTTTGACTTTTTTCGATCCACTATTTTCAACTTATGACCTATAATGAAGTAAAATATATATTGTATATTAATAAGATAAAATAATATTTTGAAAGTATTTGATGTAATAAATCTAATAAAACTATTTTGTATCAATATCTAATACTCCGTATCTTTTTTATTTAATTTGAGATCAAAATTTACCAATTTTAACTGCAAAAAGTAAAAAAATGAACAAATACTCATGAACCGATGAAGTAATTTTTTTCAAGTCAAAGGCTTTGAGCAATAGAAGATAGAACATAAATTTCTCTAACCATATCTAGTGCCTTTGAACATTTGTGTTTGTTTACACCGACACACGCAAGAAGTGTTTGTGATGCACATTTTTTGCCATTCTTTTGACAAATTTAGGTTGTTAGAGCATCTCCAACCTTGTATACTATATTGGCTTGCTATTTTTATATTTTAACAAGTGAATAATGACATAACAAGTGATATTTTGTTACATTCTACAACCATGACTTGCTAATCCATTCTACAACTTTTAGCTTCCTATAATTTGAAGAGCTTGTTATATTTAACAAGCTAAAGTCATTTTTTGGCAAGCTTGCTAAAATTAAACACACCCATTGGAGAAGAAAAAAAATAGGTTGACTTGCTATATTATAACTTTCAGCAAGCCAAAGTAGGATGATTGGAGATGCTCTTACAAACTTATGGATTATCTCTGGGTGAAAAGTTTTGGCTTTTGAATTCAAATTACTGTAAAATGAGATGAAAAATTTTATACATCGTTTTCTAACATCTTAATATAAAAAGTACTAAAAGAAAATACTGGAAACTGGATACTGAGTAAGGAGTCAACTAGTGAAATGAAAAACTAGAGAATGATATCTTTGTATTTGAATATTCTAGAGTACTCAGACAATGGATATAACGTTTTTTGGTCAACAGAGGGAATAGCTTGTTATAGAGTACTGTCCTAAGGTATTCGTAAAGTTTTGATTTTTTATAGTTAAAATTGTCTAACTTTGACCATAAATTAAATAAAATTAATATTATATATCGATACAAAAATATTTTAAATAGATATAACTTGTAAAATGTTTTTTAACTATTTTCTCCATCGTAAAATGTTTTTCCAGTTACTATTTACATGGACAAACTTTAATCACTTTCTTTATCTATTTTTGTTAGTTAAAATAACATAATCTTATCACTTCTTGTTCTGTAAAACTTTTGATCTAGTTTTTAAATATATAAATCTTATTTTTAAATTTTACACCAACAATCATATAAATTAAATTAAAAATAAATTAAAGTCAGTCAAACCTCGTAAATAGAAACGGAAAGAATGTTTTAGAACGGACAGACTATTATTTTATGGAATTAATATATACTAGAAATTATATATTAATATTCTATATGTTAAGAAAAATCAAACAAGATCTTATATTTAGACTTACACATTGAGAGAATTTGATGAGTCAAAATACTTAGATGAACAGTTCCAAAAGTCAAAACTAGACGAATACTCCGGGACGGAGGAAGTATACTTTTAATTTAACTATTGATCAAATGTTGATCTTGATTAACCAGTATATTCTATTCATGTTCTTAGTTCATACTTGATGGCGTTTCAGCCTGATTTCCATTTTCGAATAATATTGTTCATCAATAAGAATAACGATTGTTACCCAACAAATACTCCGTATTTAGTACCACATAAAAAATATTGAAAACTTTAAAAGGAACTAGATATTTAAAACTATCACAATGTACAAAAAATAATGCTTAGATTGTTCTCGTCTATGGATCTCGAGCAAAAAAAAAAAAGAAATGTTTCCCAGCACACAGTCACAATAAAAGCTTGTAATAAGAGCAAGTACTAAGTATTACTGTATGTGTAAAACAAACACTCCCTCCAAATATACACATGTAGAAGACATTCCAGATAACACCAACTTGTGAAACCTGTACTGTGCGACTCCCACTCCCTGGAAACAAAACAAGACCGCGTTTGGATTTTGATTTCGCAAAAGTTGTTTTTTTTCTGTTTCTTCATGCGCCGTCCATGCACATATCGCCACCCCCGTCGTTTGGGTTTTGATTCGCGACAGGAGGGGGGTTCTGGGAGGCAAGGGTACAGCAACCGGCGCCGAAAGTGAATTCTTGGGGAATGTTGTTGAGAAGAGGGGTGGAGAAGAGAGAAGTTGCGCCGGCGGTGTTGAAAGTGGGAGCAGAAGAAGCAGTTTCGCTGAGCTTTGGGAAGCCGAAGCTGAAAGAAGGCGCAGTGTTGGGAGGGGAGGGGAAGGCTGCCGCCGCCATGGTGGAGGTGGAGGTGGCCACGCCACTCTCTGGTTGTGATCCAAAGACTGTCTGTTCGTAATCCTGCAATTGCTGGTAGATGCCTGCATTTTTGGCAACATAGTTCGAAACAAATTCTTGTGTTTTAGTAGTGAATTCATCATTGTCCCAAATTTGTTGATAAATATATATACCAATGGTAAAATTACTAAATATGAATGAAATGAGACCACCGGTGCTAAAACAGATGCATTAGCAAAGTAAACACGATAACACGGACAAAGTAAAGGCACATAGACATGAAACACACAAATTAATACTTGATGCACATCATTTTTCAACCATGAATGTTTTTTTTTTTTGGGGGGGGGGGCTATTTAAGAAACTAGAATCCTAGAAATTACATGAAAACAGAAGCAAAGAGACAGACCTTGGGTGAGTTCAACGGATGGTCTTCGCTCTTTCACCCACTGATAGCTTTGTGCGAGTTTCCATCCTTTACTTCTCATTAGGTATGCCATCACAATAGCAGGTGACCTGAAACCAAAGGTAACTTAAGACTCCTAATTGAATACTACTAAGCAAAACCATTAACTAGTTCACAAACACATTTCCCATTGATATGTAACACTCCCTCCGTCTTTAAATCAACTTTACACTTTGCTCTTTTAGAGGGCTAAAAATCGACTTCACTCTTCACCACTTTCCATTTTAGGAAATAAGCATTTGGACAACTTTAATTTTCTCTCTTCCAAATAAATTTCAACCACACACATTTCACTTTTTACCAAACGCCTTTTACTTTTCAACACTTTTCTTAAACTTAATGAAGTTAAACCATTGAGTTCATTTAAAGACAGGGCTGACAAGAGTATAATCCAATGTCACACCGTTGAGTTCATTGTCAAGGCTGATTCCAACACTACCAACTCCCGCCCTTTAATAATTTATTCTACTAACCCAAAAGAAAAGGGGCACACACCAACCCAACCACTAGGGGATAGAAAGAAACATGCATTGTGTAATGGTACTCACCTGCTTTTCCCTGTCATGCAATGTACAAGAACACGTGCTCTATCCCTTTCGCATTCCTCTGTAAATGCACCAAAGTTCACATATAACAGACTAACAGTTGAATTTTCCTATATACAGTAGTCTGAATGGAATTCCTTTTTAAAAAACTGATGTCATGTAGTATAATTTATGGTAACCCAATTGAAGTAACAACAACGAATAAGAAAGAAAATGTTAATCCATATAATCTTTCCTTTCTTATATTATTTCATTATGAGGTATATACAAGATCAAATATATAGCATAGAAAACTCCCAGTCTCCCACAACTTTTAATCATGTTCCTCATATCATATGCATCTATAAAAATCTTAATCAGAGAGAAGTGAAAAAAAGAGGATATATTCGTACAATGTATCTTTGTATTATCATACAAATGGATTCCTAAGGAGAGAATCGGAAGTTAAAAGTTCCAATGTTCTTTTTTATGTGTGACACGTGTGAAATTGCAGAAAATCCATCTTAAAATTGTAGGCATACTGCTACAAAAAACCAGTAGTAATTTGTTTTCCCAAGAGAGCACCAAAATGTACTATCAGATGCATAATCATGAAATAAAGAGAAGGAACTGTCACCTAAGAATTCAACTGCATCATCAAACTCTAAATTGTGTTCATCTTGGAGGCAGTGGTATGTAAACGAATTTTTATACAGATTTTGAACAGAAGGGACAGTCTGCAATAAAAATAGACAAATTAGCAAGTTCCACCAATTATACGTCATTTCTATTCTATGTGCAAATTTTGCATTGACAAAAAAAGTTAATCAACCAGAGCTGTCATAATATAAATATGTACTCCCTCCGTCCCAGAGTATTTGTCCACTTTCATTTTTGCACACCATCCAATACACTTCTTTAATCCATTTTATCTTGTAATTTGTATATTAAACAATTATAGAAATTATATATTAATAATCTATATATTAAGACAAATCAAACAAGATCACACATGACTATATTTAGACTTATATATTGAGAGAATTTGATGAGTCAAAGTGCTTAGATGAACAGTTCCAAAAGTCAAAAGTGGACGAATATAGCGGGATGGAGGTAGTATTGAATTCCTTATTACCTAATTGGGAGGTTGCTAAAAAAATACGAGTATTTCGTTTTTCAAAAGAATTCAATTATTGACAGTATTTACAAAATACAAAACAAAATATGTTACAACATTTCCTAAAATCAAGAAAAAACATATGTTAAATCGGTATGTCTTCCTATGATCTAAGCAAACACTGGATTTTATCTTAGACCAACCATTGTAAGTGCTCCTAGAGGAGCAGCATGATGCTTGACTTACCTGCAAGAGTAAACCAAATGCATTTTTCTACATAGTTCACATAAAATTAGGCTGATTGAAGGTGCAATAAAATGCGCCTTCTGTCTACCTTAGAAACATAAACTATCAACACTCATCTTCACTAGTGTCTTTTCAAATTTCAACTAAATTAGAAACTAAAAGCATAGTGATTCTTATGTCTATAATTGGGAATGCAATGAAATATAAGCATCTATTAAATCCATGTGATGCATGCAAATAAATCTAGCACTTCTTAGATCCAGAATTGGGAATACAGTGAATGCTTAGAAACAAACTTCATATCTTTTTTATAACAAACTATTTCCCTAATTTTCTCTTGTTTCAACAATTAGTTAATAACATGTTTGAGAAAGTAAATTTGTATTTCGAAATCATATTTGACCCAAACTACATATTTGGATATCCAAAACAATGTGGATTTGTGCCAAATTCATCTAATTCCCAAGGAAGCGCAATTACAAATTGTATTTTGAAATCCAAAATTCAAATTTCAGAATTGAAATCCAAGAATTGGAGTGAATTCCTAGTATCCACACACTGCCTAAGTTCAAAGCCAATCATATCTGCTGGTAAATGAATGGAAAGAGTGGGTACACTTACATTGAGAACTCGAGAAATCCCCTGGGTCTTAAGAAGCTCTGCCCTGGAGGCATTATCGTAGCTACCCAGGAAGAGGAACTCGGGCAGGATCTCGGAAGGAAAGGCGCTGGTGTGGAAGGAGGAAGGCTTCTCGTCGACGCCGGCCATACGGTGGCCGCAGATTGGGCAAACCTCGCCTTCCTCGTACTTGTGGTAGTGGCCGCAGACGCCGCAAGGGTTCTCCCGCTCCCTCTTCCTCATGTTCCGATCCGATTCCCGCGCGCCGGAGGAGGAGGAGGAATAGGCGGATGCGGGGCGAAGGGAGGCGCGATCTGGGAGGAAGGGGATCGGGGAGGGGTTATTGTAGGGTAAATAATTGGTCGTCCCTTTGTATATGTAACAGAGTAACGGTATCTTACATAGGACTGACTGACTCGCAGAGCGACCGACCTTACACACACAGTATTGTTTTGACCTCTGAAATCATCATCATCATCATCATCATCATAATATAGGGTTTCCAACTTCCAATTATATTGGGACGACGATGATGATGATGAATTGATGATGATGATAATTAATTACTAAAAAAAGGAAGAAGAAGAAAAGATCTAGGGCCTTCCGTCCGTATAAGATCTCCAATCCTAAGGGGGGTACCCTACAGGGATTAGGGTTCTAGACCCCACAACACATGCTTTTGCCAGAGGGAAGTGGGAATGTTTTACTCCTTCCCTTCTACAGTCCACAACGGTAAAGAAACACTTTCTTTTAGTTATTTCAATGTCTTTGGATTTTTCTATTCATAATATTTCTATTTGTTTTTAAATAAATATAGAAAATGAATTTATGATAGCTTAAAATTATGTTTCGTAATAGACTTGTTGGTATTAAATTTACATCAAAATTCTAAGTTTTTTTGTAATTTACTGAGCAAGTTTTAAAATATTGATTACAAAGTCCAAATTAGCAAGAAAAAATAAAGACATGCGACGAAAAAGTATAGTACGTTCCTTCCACCCACACCAATTTGACTCTCCAAAAATGCCATTCAATTTTGAGGGAGGGTTTCGGGTTTGAAAGAAGCTTTCGAGTAGGAATCATTTTCAAATTAAACGAAGTATAATAAGAGGCTCAAATAGATCAACCCGCCCGCGACTCCGACACTACTCCAGTCTGTTTCGTTACTTTAACCCGTTTTTTCTATCAACTCGCCCAAATTTGTTAGACTCGAGTTAGCTTGAGATCTTGATCGGGGGTCATGGGTTTGGGTAAAAAAACCAAATTAAAAAAAAAAGATTAGTTTAAAAGTAAGTGGAGTCATTGATGATTAAACCTACAACATATGAAATCTCAATAAAAGGTTGCAAGTTGGTAGGCGTTGCATAGTTGGCAAAAACAAGGAGTAACAATAGGATAATATCTGAGTTTGATACTTGCTAACTGCGCTGAAGGAGTTTGAAATAGCCCTCATCATAAAAATCATCCTTTTTTCGATACAAGGTTTCAATGCAAAATTCCAATCATATGAGCTAGTACACCACTTATTTGAAAAAGTATGCAAAATGTTGTATATACATTGTTAATATTTGAAAACCTCCCATTAAAGAAACTCATGCATGTTTGTGTAAAGTATTTATTTTATTAACTTTAAACTTAGGTAAAAGAAAAAAGAATTATCTATTTTTAATCAAAAAATAAATACAGATAATTTTATTAAAAAAATTATTTTCAACATCAAAAAGAGATACTGTTTGATTTTTTAGATAACTATGTTTAGGAAAAGCGTAAACTTCAAAAAAATTCTCTCCTTCCACAATCAAATTTACATAATTTTTGTAAGTTTAGATTATTGACTCTATAGATTACAATATCTAGTATATGTTCAAATTTTTTTTAACTTAATAACACACAGTGAGTTAATGTCTTTGCGTGATCGAACATTGGTGAGTTTCCTCCTTAATATTGAGGAATGAATTTTCTACAACTCAAGTCAAGGGAAAAACTCCTATTTAGTGCATCCTAAATAAAAAATATAATTTTCCATTTTCTATTTTCAGAAATGAAAATATGACTACTATTTTGTTTCTATTTTTAAAACTTTCCATTAATGCCCATTTACTTCACACCAGACACATTTTTTTACATTTTACTTAAATTTCACAAAATTATATTTCAAAATTTATCGGGGCGGGGCAAGGGGTTTACCGGGGGGTTAGGGGGGTAGAAACCGTCAATTTTACGAACGGAGCACCGGAGCGCCCTCGGGTCATCCCCATGACATTGGTTCCCAATGTCATGGAAACCTTCCCCTATGTATTGTCGATGAGTTTTGTATATTTATATATTTTAGTTGATTATGTTATAAAATAAAATATTTAATTCACTTCTTGTTCTATAACACATTTTTTTTCAATATGTAAATTATACTCCCTCCGTCCCAAAAAGATTTACACCTTTCAAAAAAATTGTGTCTCACAATCTCCTACTTATTTCTATTAAAAAACCACTTTTACCCCTTACTTTTTCAAATCATATCTATCACATCATACCTTTTTCTAATAATCTACACATCACATCATACTTTTATCCATCACATCAAGAGTATTTTTGGAAAGTCAACACAAAATTAGCACTCCCTTAATTTCAATTTTAGTCAAAATGTGTAAATCTTTTTGGGACGGAGGTAGTATCTTTTTATTTTGAGTAATGCTAGAGGTACGCAGAATGACATACCTCATTTGTACATCACCATTTATCACCATTAGGCATGATCAAAGTGCGGGCTGGGCCGAGATACTACTTTACGAAAATTTTATAGGCCCGAGCCCGGCCCGGCCCGTATAACGGACCTAACAATTGAAGCCCAAGCCCGGCCCGCATGGTTACCCACGGGCTTCAGGCCGGCCCGGCCCGGCCGACAAAAATTTCTAAATAATTTAAAAATAATTTTTTTAAAAAAAGTAACAAGTTAATATATTAGATATTTGATATAAAAATTGTTATGAGTAAATGAAAGAAAAATTGATATACAAATATATTTTGTTCGATATTGCTACTATGTATGGAGCATAAAATATTATCTATTTGAATGTCATAATCAATGTGTGATACGTTGCAAACAATACGGAGTATTAAAGATGTATTCATTTTATTATAAATACGTATACTTTATTTTTTATCTCCATAGAAGTATGCATGTGTGTTTATAATAATTTAAAATAGGTTTGTTCTTTATTATTATTATTAATGTTGTTATTGTTATTTTATTATAATTATATTAAATATAAATATTTAATTTATTCGTGCCGGGCTGGCCCGTGGGCTTGAGCATAAATCCGAGCCCGGCCCTAAAATATTCGGGTCGCCATTTATAAAGCCCAAGCCCGACCCGTACCCTAAATTATCAAGCCCAAGCCCACTATTTTGCGATAGGGCCAGATACCCGGGCCCGTGATCAAGTCTAATCACCATACACCTTTTCCACTCATTAATTTTTTTATCAACATTTTAATTGTATCGTAAAAATATTTTTAGGTAGACCCGATCACAGGTTTGGGTATCCAGCCCACCCTTAAAATAGCGGGCTTGAACTTGACTTTTCAGGATATAAGACAGGCTTGGGTCTTGTAAAGGATGACCCGAATAGTTTATGACGAGCCTGAATGAATTAAAGCATTTTTATTAGAATAACGATGGGGTTCTAGTGACACCAGAATACGGTGACACTACGGTGCCACAATCATTTTGGAACTCTTCTGGTGCTACGTTTGCAAAAATTGATGATCCCTACCCCTAACCACCCCCGTAAACCCCCTACCCCAATGGTACCAGAGTGTCACCGTACTCCGGTGCCACTAGAACCCCACCATTAACAGGTGGGATTCTGTTGACACTGAATTCCAATGTCAACGAAACCCCGCCCCTAAGTATAAAATAAATCCATGCCCTTATACTCTATCCATCCCAATACTTTTGAGACATGAAAACAGTAAGACGAACAAAGAATAAAAAAGGGATAAAAATAGTAAAACGAGGTGAGTAATAACTTTTTTTTACTCCCAAAAAGTGTCTAATATGGACCTAACATAAGATTCAGGTTAAAATTTATCTTTGAGTGGCTTTTGGGTTGGGCCATGACCTTTTTTTGGCCCCTTTAGCAAATACCCCAAGAGGAACCTTGCTTCATTTTCGATATCCAACTCACAAACGCACGATTAAGCCTAAAACATATTCTTATTATTAAAAAAAAAGTAAAAAAAAAGGTTGTTGTTCTTGTCATTTCATTATTGCTGAGGGTAAATACTTGAGAGACAATTTTGAGTAAGAAACCATATTGTTATCCTCACAACTCACAATGTCATTTTACTTGTAAATAAATATAACTTAACAAGTGCAAAAAGATGGTTCAAAAAAAATGTTCATAGTATGGATATGCATATGAGTTGGATGAGCTATAATCACAACTAAAATGGTTTGAGCTAAAATGCCGCGTCTTTTCCCATGTTAAAGGCTTAATAGGACCAGAATTGAACACAAGATCTCAGTATGGTCATGTCACCTGTTCGCTCAAAATCAGCTCAGGGAGGGAGAGTTACAATTCATCCTTGGCTGGTGTTTCGTCTGCCATGAGTTCGTCAAAGGAGAATTCATCTTCTTCCATGATTTCCCCATCTTTGCCATCCCAAGGTTCAGTCTTTACTATGTTGGGAGTTTCTGTCAGCGGCAGGTTTCCTTTGCCCCCTAGACTTGCTTCGAGCACAAATCCTCTGCATTTGTGCAAAAACATTAGCAATCACGGCCCATATAATTCCTTCATATAAACGTGAGGATCCCTTTGAAATGAAATTTTTTTCAAGGGGAAATTAACTGGTTCAGAATCAAGTGGTTAATTATAGATGTGTTCAAACCCTTTTTTATTATTCGTTTCTAACATATAAAAGCTGAGAAATATGTGTAACAATCGAAGGTGTTAACCAAATCCGTGTTCCATTTGTAGTTCCAATTATAGGTTAACTTTGTGCGTGCAAACACTTACTTGATTGGATCATGCTGAAATGCGCTCTTCAGAGGTGCATAGGCTTTGCGGGTCAAGGCTACCATTGCGGGATATCCGTACCCACCGACGCCAACCTGCTTCTCCAGATCGGGTTGTTTGCCAGCAGCAGCCCAGACAAAGCTGTGAACAGTTGCAAATTTTAATGTGGAGATGTGTTTTGAACTATTAATAATTATTCGCATTATGAGGGTTCTTAGGCTTGCCTGTACGGTTTTCCTTTGAATTTCTCAGCAACAGACAACAAAATGTCCAAATACTTGTTCCTTCCCTCTGCTTTGGAATCCAAAATGTCTGGTAGGAATGCCACAAAACAAATGGCAGCAGAACTACACTTTTCTTCCATGATTTCCTGATATTAAAAAGGCATCCACGTTTTACTTGTTGTGAGTTGTGGTACCGTGCCTCCCAAGTGTGTCCTAACCTTGCCCACACGTATATACTTTGCTCAGACATACATAGACATGAGCTCTAGCTTTGTGTGAAGGGACAAACTTGGAGGCACGCTTGAGGGGGGATTAGCTTATTTCTTTTATAATGTATGAGGTATCATGTAGGGACCACAAATAATGGATGTAATAAAAGCATAAGGATTTTGGGTCAACAATGTAGTGAGGAGCATATTGTCTTTAAGACCTACTATATTCCTTTTGGGTTGAGGTTCTAGCGAAGAAAGCGTATCAACCTCACACAAATAGGGGTAAGGTCTGTGTACTCCTGCCCTCCCCAAACCTCAGAGATGATGACATTGGATTTGTTTTGGTGTAACAAAGAGCATTATTTTTAAAATTCACAAAAAAAAGGGAAGACGAACCTGTCCAGTCAATTCTACCACTTCAGGGGGAGAAACATTAGATTCCAGCTGATCAAGAGCAAATGATTGGATAGCTGGCGCAGTCCTTGCACCATCATAAGGGGTTGGCTTTTCTTTGTCAGCACCAAATACCAAAATCGTAGGAAACCCTTGAACGCTGAACCTGCTCATCAAAGTCTAGAAACTAAACCAGTCAGTTCCATGCAACATCACCACAAACAGTCTCAAACTTTCAACTCGAACAATTGTTTCTAGCATTTTTCACTCCCTTTGTCCAAAAAAATAACTGATTCAAAAGGTTTTTTATCCAACAAAGAGTTCTATTCGATCAAGTGAAGTGAGATTGTTCATGTAATTTGCCAAAACAAAGTTAAGAACAAGCTAAATATGATGAGTTTAGTTATAAGCAGAAACAAAGTTGGGATTTTATGACTTTTAAAATATGTATCTTGCCAAAATTATAAAGCTGTATCTTGGCCAAACATGAATTTTATCAGGATAGTGGGAGATTTAACATGGGAATAAAAAACCATATAAATACGAAATTGGCAAAATTACATAACTAGGACTAAAACATGTTCAATATATCAAAATACAACCCTCAAATCTTTTTATACCAAAATAACTTATAATGTCAAACAATGCCATAACATAATGTCAAGAAACTATGTGAATTGTCAACACAACATGCCAAACTGTGGGTGTTTTAGAGTGTTAACACTCCTAATAGATGATAAAAACATAGTAGGTCTTACTTTAGTATGAGTTCCATGATTTCATCTTATTTAGGTAAATTTCTTTTCAAAAATTATGATAATACAATTGATATGCATAAAATATTGGGAGCATTTTAAAATTAGAAGGCTTGTGACTAGAGAGCATTCACCGTAAGTTTACCTTCTCTGCATCACAGTCCACATGACCCAACTTCACCTTCCCTTGTAGGTTTTTTGCTGCTTTTTTCCACTCAGGTGCGAGCTTCTTGCAGTGTCCACACCTTCGTAGAGTACCACACATCAATTTATAATAGTCACTTTTTTTTTTGCAAAAAGGTAATACTAGAAGAGGTACAAGTTCAGTTTATGAACATTAGAGAAAAAACATGTCACTGCATAGGATCCATTTCCAATAGTCACAGCGAGCTGAAATAACTTTCTCACACACTATACATAGAATTAACAATTACACCAAATGGCTGGACCTTTTCTTAACACATCTTATGTTCCACAGTTGAAACGTGAATGAATAAGATCACGACATCAGTAAAAAAATGCCATCAAACTATGTTTTCTTGGTAAATAAATGCCACATTCTTTTTTTGTTTCTAAATTGATTTAAAACTTTTTAATAATGTTCAAATTTCAGAAGTGCCTCTCAATCCATTTTTACTGGTCACAACCGTTAAAACCTTTATTCTTTTCATTTTCATTTGACATTTATATTTTTATCTAAGATTTTCTTCCTCTTTCTCAACACATTTCTTTCTTCCTAATTCTCTCCACTCACAAAGAATATATCGATAAAAAAAAATCAAGTTTTAAAACATAGCAGCTTTGTAATATACTACCTCCGTCCCACTATATTCGTCCACTTTTGACTTTTGGAACTGTTCATCTAAGTAATTTGACTCATCAAATTCTCTCAATGTGTAAGCCTAAATATAGTCATGTGTGATCTTGTTTGATTTGTCTTAACACATAGATTATTAATATATAATTTCTATAATTTTTTAATATACAAATTACAAGATAAAATAGATTTAAAAAGTGCATTGGATGGTGTGTAAAAATGAAAGTGGACAAATATAGTAGGACGGAGGGAGTATGATTTTTTTCAATTGTCATTAATTTTTACAAATAATGCAATTTTGTATTAATAAAAAGATTACCTCCATCCCACAAAAAAAATCATACTTTTTTCACAAAGAATGTATCCATAAAAAAATCAAATTTTTAAAACATAACAGCTTAGTTATATATGATTTTTTTCATTTGTCATTAATTTTTATAAATAATGCAATTTTTTATTAATGAAAAGATTACCTCCATCCCACAAAAAATCGTACTTTTTTCGATGTCCAAACAAAATCCTACTTTATTTCCTTTCTAAGAATGGAACATGTTGCATAAAAAAACTTCTCTTTCGTATAAACAAATTCCAACGACTTGCTTTTCACTTTTTAACAGTTTTCTTAAATTCTGAGGGTCAAATAACAAATCTTTTTACACCTTGTAGACCAACCTGATAGCAATGTGTTATAACACTTCATAAACACGTAGCTATCGGGTTAGTCCATGGTGCGTAAAAAAATCACATTGTTTGACCTTTCACAGAATTTAAGAAAAGTGTTTAAAAGGTAAGAAAAAAATGAGGGCTTGGAATTTGTTTAGATTAGAGAGAGGTTTTTTAAGCCACGTGTTCAATTCTTAGAAATGAAATAAAGTAGATTTTTTTTGGGAATATACAAAAAAAGAAAAGTAGGAATTTGTTTTTGTGAACAAAGGTATTATCATTGTTAATAAAAGAAATTGCCTTGTTTACAAAAATTAATGACAAATGAAAAAAAATACATTACAAAGCATCTGTGTTTTAAAAAGTTCATTGTTTTTAAGAATACAATCTTAGTAGGTGGAGAGAACTAGAAGGAAACAAATTTATTGAGAAAGTGTAAGAAAACCTAAGAAAGAAATATAAGTTTAAAGAGAAAATGAAAAGAACAAAAATTTTAACAATTGTGACCACTAAAAAGGATTGAGTGGCATTTTTTAACATTATTAAAGTGTTCAATAGCAGTATAGGAACAAAAAAGGAGTAACATAATTGACATTGTCTACACAAAAAACTTTGATGGCATTTTTAACAGCTCTCACAAGATCACAAAAACAAGAAACAAGTATTAATCCAAAATCAATATTTGTACATTTAATTTGCTATCATAGTTTCATGTGAAATATTTTAAAAGACAAAATTAACCACTCACCAGGGGGCAAAGAATTCCACAATCCACAGTTCTTTGCTTTTAATAACCAAATCATCAAAATTTTTTGAGTTCAGTTCTACTGAGACACTTGGCTCAGACTTCTGAGAAGATCCTCCCACTTTTCCATCTAACCGATCATTAAGGAGTGCCTTAATCTGTATAACGTTAACTGATCTAATAAGTTTTATGTTTAGCAGTAGAAATATTCAAAGTAATGCTTCACAGTCTCTAAATGAGCTGCATCCTTGTGAGTGATACTAGAATAGTGATAAATTACAAGCAGAGAATGCAGGGAGCTGCTGTCAATGATGATGACGGGTTCAAACTGAGTAGAATGAATTGAGTACATGCATTGCAACACCACGATACATTTCCAACACAATAATTCTATTGTCAAATAAAAGACAAGTTTGGTGATAAGAGGTCATATAGAGGAAATATGGGTTACACAATGGGTAGGTGAGCAGTTGGAAGCTTTATAATGATCACAAAATCCAACAGTTGAATGTCAAGTTCTATCGATGAACGATAAAATTAAACTACTATGCTGTTTTGGTGAAGAACCAAGGTAGCCATAAGAAGATTACAACCCATGCTAGACTGTCACTGAGTAAGTTTTCCTATCCACAGATTTTTCATTGTGGGAAAGTCTACATTTGGGATAACAATCAAGTGACGCTTGTACAAAATAGAGAGAGACAAAATCGGCTTAAATGATTTCAACAGAAAACACATTTATTTATATTGATAATATAAAGAGATTGCATAATACTGGTAAGACGTTAACTCAAAACAAGATAGAAGTAAACATATAAACAGTCCAATTATGCAAATCCAGCTAGACTGGAATTAAGAAGGCTTAGTGACAGTGAAACAAAGTTAAGAGAGTGTGAAACTTGCTTTAAGGCAGTTACATGTAACATCAATCACCTGTTTATACACAAAATTAGACATTGCTTTTGCCTCCCTTGGTCCTTCATAATCAACAGGTTGCTTTCCAGGTGCAAACACCTTTATGCTAGGAAAACCTTTAATTCCATATTCCTACAGACGAGAATGCCGTATTAGCATGAATCATGCTTACATACATGTGCATATATATACATCCAGAAAATAAAGTCATTTATTGATATGATCCATGGATCAGAAAGTAGGGGCAAGCTAGAAAAACAGAAACTATTACTCCATTATGCATTATACAGCTTGGCAAGGAAATGATATATATCGAATATGAACTAGGGAGGATCCTGCAGGAATGCATGAACATGAAACTTGTAGCTTGTAAAATTACACTTCTAACTACACTGTACTTTTAGGCAGTAAAATGAACACCTCACTTTTAGTCGTAAGAGTACACTTCTACCAATACTGAACTCTCATTCGGTAAAATGTGCAAGCATTTTATATAACATTGACATACTGCCTTCGAGCTGTTTGATCCCTTGCTTGAATGATCCACATTATTTCAAGCTTCTACCAAAGAAAATATTTTCATTTTGATCATGCATGCATAAATAACTATGCACTCCCAAACATAAATGTATTCAAGCTATATTTTTATTCTCATTCATTCACTTAATGCGTATGAAATGTTATTAACTACTCCATATGAATTTGAGTTTCAAATATTTTGAAGAATTTAAATTGTTTCATGACTTGCTTTTGTCATGGAGAAATCATTTACTAGTAAATAACCCTCATTGACAAGAGTTCATAACATACAGGTTATAGCAGAATCCTAAATTTGTAACTTTTCTACTTACTCTCTAACCGTTAGACCTTCACTTCTAATAGTTTCGAGCATCATATACTTTTTATTTCTTTTTGTGACTTGTCCTCAAATATATGATTTATGCGTATCTATCACTTTGATGTAGCTTCCATGATAAGATTTTCTCAAAAGTATCATACTATCATTATTGGATAATTTGGATTGATACGAAGCGGAAGAATTTCTCAAAGTATCTTACTAGAATTTCATTTTTATGATGGACACTAATGCACACAGTGACTAACTTCACTTCACGAAAACTAATCGAGGATGTCTATGATCATACTAGAAATTTGTTGCTTAAAAGGATCCCATTTATTGGAAACATTTCCAGTACTTGAAGATGATGACATATTTGGCATGGAAAACTAGATCAAATATTCTGATAATCCGTTTGTTTATACCTTTCCAATCAAAAAACAAATACACAACGAGGCGATTTTCATGGATGAAGGTAAATCTGACCTGAGCCAGAGACCTGTGGGCATCTGCATCAAGAGCAGCGACTGTCGCAACTCCTTTCAAGACGGAAGCCACCTTCTCATAAGTGGGCGTCAATGCTTTGCAATGACCACACCACGGGGCAAAGAACTCTACAATAACCACGCCATCAGAACCTAGGACCTGCAATTGAATTCAATTTCAAACCTCGCATTACCAGTCAATTTCAATACAATCGCGTCAATAACACAATACGACTGACACGCAAAAATCGAATATACATAAAAATATGCTCCAACATTATCACCGCATGCATATACAGAGCAGATTAAAAGCATAAACAAACAGATTATGATGCAGATACAGAGAACAATACGCGCGAATACGAAAGCGCGCACCTTAGACTTGAAGTTTGAGGGATTTAATTGAAGAACTGGTGAAGAAGGGCCGTATAGAGCCGAAACAGTTGTGGTCGATATGAAGAGCTGCGCGGCTGCCGTGAGAACCACTAGAAGAGCTGACCGTGGAAGAGACGACGACGGTGCACCGCGATCCATTTCTCTCTGCTCGCGAGCTCAGCGTGACTGAGAGTTGCTGGTTGCGAATATCTCTGCTCGCGGATGATGAATAGAACCCCGTTACGTGGACTCGCCAATGAAAAGCTTACACGTCAGTATGATGAGTATTCCTAGTTCTTGTCTAATTCTACTAATTTTTTACACTTTATATTTGAAACATAATAGAATAAAAACTGCATGTTATCCTAATTACATAAAAAAATTATTGAAAATGTTTTCCAAGTTAAATCTAATAAAATTATTCTTATATTGTCTTATATAAATAAAATAACGATCTACTTTTTCAAATACTCTAGAATGAAAGTAGCAAATGCACATTGAAGATACTTTATAGCCACATCAACTTTGGCACAAAAATATGACATTTATTTTACAATTGATTTTTTTCTCTTCATGTGAGTATATATTTATCCCATGACAAATGAAGCACACTAGAATGAGTAGTGTTAGGAACAAATCTAGTTTGACATCAGTGTATTTCGTATAGGGGATGTGCATTATTTGATCTAGACCTAGACAGATCGAAAATTTGATGAAAATCAGACCACAATGGTCCCTTTTCAGTGAGGTTTTTAGTCATTACGTTTTTCTTATTCGACGTTTGGTCCTGTCTGGTCATGTCCATCGGGTTTCAATCCGTACCAATAGACCAATTACATTTGATTTTATTTAATATTTTTCTATATAAGTTTATAGTTTGGGTATTATACGAAGTACTCCATAGTTTTTTAAGTTTTTCCAAATATATAATGTTACATTAACTTTAATTTTTTTGAATGATCTGATCAAAACTTGGAATTGAAAAAATTACTCAAAAAATTAGTAAGGCCGACTAATTTTTTGACTTATAAGCAGTTTCAACTTATATTGTATCCGTGTAAACTATCACATTAGCTTCATACTAACAGTAAATATTGGTGCATGCGTTTGGAGCACACAGTATGGTACAATTTTTGGTGTACAACTAGTTTAATTATGTTTTAAAAGTTCTGTTGGGGATAAATGTCGTGGTATACACCATTTGACAATATAGAGTATATCTTTGAGATGGTTTTCATGACATTGCTCGACAATGTAATGGGATGATCCAAGAATGCTCGGGTGTCTCGTTCGTAAAATTATTGATTTCTACCCACCGGTAAATCCCTCCACCCGCTCCGACCCAAACACACCCCCACCCGTTCAGACCAGATCATATCAAACAAGCGAACATAGCACAACCTAAGTGTAATCTTTAAAAGAAATTATACTCCACACATTACTGAATGCCTTCTATCAAAATCTATGCTAAATGAAAAATTAGTGTTACTATCTTCATACGAGAGTATTTATTCATTTTGACTTTTTTTAAGTCAAATGGATGAACTTTTCAAGTAAAAAAACTACAATGTATATTAATATAGAAATGATTTTATTAGATTTTTATTTGTTTAGAACTTTCAAAACTTTATTTCATCGCATTAATAAACAATACAAATTGAGAGTAATTAAAGATTAAAGTTTATTTATATTCTGTTTGACTCAAAAAGTCAAAGTATACAAATACTCTAAGATAGATGAAATACTTCATACTACTATATTTTAAAATTAATTGTTAGATTTACATTAAGCAATGCTAAAAAATGAATACTAATATATGAATACTAATATATGAATTTTATTTAATTATTTATTCTTTTTGGATAATAAGAAGTAAACATAAACATAATTTTTGAAGTGTATATAGGGTTAAGAAATCACCTTAAATATGGGCAAAATAATTCATTTGCTTTACAATCCTATAGGAAAAAAGCTAAGACTAAAATAAGAGTAAATATTTAAAAAATATCAAAATAGAAGTTATATATTTTTATTTACTAATTAAGAGTTTGCTCTGTGGTAATTTGACATTGTACGTGAACATTATACTATTTTTTGGTAATGTACATAGTCACGAATGGCATTGTAAATGCGTTTTAATTCTTATTTTGAAAATAAAAACATAGAAGTCTTTACTTCTATTTAGTTTCAGGTTTATCCTATAGGGTTGTAAAGCAAACAAATTACTCCCCCCGTCCCCCTGTATTTGTCCACTTTCATTTTTACACACCATCCAATGCACTTCTTTAATCCATTTTATCTTGTAATTTGTATATTAAAAAATTATAAAAATTATATATTAATAATCTATATGGTAAGACAAATCAAACAAGATCACACATGACTATATTTAGGCTTACATATTGAGAGAATTTGATGAGTCAAAGTGCTTAGATGAACAGTTCCAAAAGTCAAATATGGACAAATACAGGGGGACGGAGGGAGTATTTTAATTATATTAGTGATTCGTATTCGAAAAAATGAATACGAATAAGAATAAAAATATTTATTGAAATTTGAAAGAAAACGAATACAAATATGAATATATATATATATATATATATATATATATGCAATTGATTCGAAATATTAACGAGTATATTTGAATAAAAATATTAATTATATCCCAAATACTGCTCGATAACAAATACAAAGCATAATATATATAGAGTACTTCGTAGTTCTTTTTAGTGCAATACTCTGTAGTTGATATTTAAAACTCCTTCCGTCCAAAATTAATGTTCTCACTTTGATTTGGCACAGAATTTAATAAAAATTGAAATTTTCTTTGACTTCCCTAAACTGCCCCCCACCCACCTCTTTCTTCTTTTCCTATCCACTCATCTTCTCTGTGCAATGAGATTGGCGACAGGTCCTCCCTGCTCAGCCACTTGCTCCGACGGCTGCCATGATGCGTTACCGTACGTGTCAACTCTGATCACTGCCTCACTGCTATACTATACCGTCATCACCTACGGCTGCTTCAATTTCAAAAAAAACGAAGAAGGAAGAAACTTGAGGCTCCTTCTTTCGAATCCAACACGCCATCATCAATCGTTGTTTGTACTCCACCACCACAACAAATTTCTTCATCGTCGTTGACCTCTTTTACAGATCTGAATCAGATTTCTCAGATCTGGATTGGGGGACAAAAAAGAAGAAAAATGGGAAGGGGGAGGGAGAAGAAGACGAGAAGAAGAAATGAAAAAGAAAAGAAACGAAAGATCGAGAGGAGGGGAAGAAGAAAGCAGAGGAGAAAGAAAGAAATAAGAACAATCAAAAAAGAGAAAGGAGAAGAAACGAGAGAGAAAAAAGAAGGAAAAAGAAGAGGAAAAAGTAAAAGAAAGTGAGCGTAGTTATGTCTTTTTAACAAAAAGATTTTACCAAAAAAGAAAATGTAAATTTTATTTGTGGACGGACCGAACAGGAAAGTGAGAACTTTATTTGTGGACGAAGGTGTAGTATTCATTTACTTCATCCGTCCCAATTTATTTGTAACACTTCGAACGACGTGCAAAATATCATCTCTTTTAAAATTATTTTAATTTCAAATTGGTAGAGTAATAAAAACTAAAAAGTAAAAATTACGGAGTACATCATTTAAAAGTATATGAGAAGTTCTACAAAACAAGATGCGACAAGAATATTTTATTTTATCAAATGGTCAACCAAAACGAGTAAACAAACAAAAGTTATCGAAAGGCCGAAAAACTAAACGTGACATTCTTTCTGGGACGGGAGGAGTATCTTTTAGGCGCCATGAGAAAAAGAAATATTTAAATAATTATAAATAAATGTGTAAATATGAACTGAAATATAGAGTAACTGAAAAGAAGACCTAATATCACAAGTACATACTCACATTTCCATATTCATCTAGTTTTCAGCAAAAGTACTTCAATCATCACTTGTGCAACTTAATAACCTTTTTTATAATCTCAAATGTCACAACAATCAAATTTGAAAGTCTAACATGCAAAAAAATTTTAAAATTGAATTTTATGCAGTAACTAAAATAGAAATACAAATTGAATTCTTTACCAATAACAATAATTATTTGAATAAATAATAAAATAAATATCATTAATGAAATCATTTTTCAAATACGCATAAAATTTGCTTAGTTTTTACTCGTAAAGTTGTATGCGTATGGAATAAAATGATTGACGGGTAACGGGCTAAAGTGAATGTAAAAAAAAATCACTGAAAATGTGACGGGTTCCGACCCGGCTTCCCCTCATTATTACCCCTAATTATGCCAGGCAGAGGAAACGAAGAAGCGCGTTTCTTCAATTCCTCCGATCATCATCATCTTCATCGATCCACAGCGATTTCCTTGCCGATTGAGGGAAAGGAGGAGATCAATCGATCGTCTTCAACAATGGAAACCCAAGATTGAGAATCCTCTATTCCGACGCGGTGGCAGATTCATCCATCAATCCCTAACGCCGTTCCGTCACAGATCTCTTCTGGCCGAGGCGATGCGCCATCGGAAAATCCCGGCGACACCAGTAGAGCGACAACAGAATCCCATCGCCGCTGCCGATCCGCCTCGATACCGTGGGGTCAGGAAGCGCCCATGGGGCCGTTTCGCCGCCGAGATCAGGGATCCGGTCAGGAAAGCCCGCGTCTGGCTTGGAACCTTCAACACCGCAGAGGACGCCGCCCGCGCCTACGACGATGCCGCCCGCACCTACCACGGAGCTAAAGCTAGAACCAATTTCCCCTCCTCCGATCTTGTCCCCCACGATCATATTGCCAATAATCGCCGCACCAATTTGGTTGCCCCTCTCCCGGCTGAGAACCATTACCAAGGGGTTCCTTATTCCGGACCAGCCAGAAGCAGCCTCAGCAGCACCGTGGAGTCCTCCAGTGGCCCCCGCCTGCCTTCTCCCCCCTCCGCCCCCGCCGCCAAGCAACAGTTGCGCCCCAAGTTTCCTCCACCACCGGACGATTGCCACAGCGACTGTGGTTCGTCCTCGACAGTGATGGACTTTGACGATCAAGATCAAACCACATCATATCTCTTTCCCAAAAAGCCCCTGCCTTTCGATCTCAACCTGCCCCCTCCTCCATCCGACAACTACTGCATTGCAGACGAGTTAAAGGCCACTGCCCTCCACCTCTGATTCTACCAACAAACAGTCATGGTATCCCTAATTTATATATCTTATATATATGCATATTATCAAAGAAAAATCTTGTCCCCGTTTTCATCTTCCCAAATTTTCCACTTTCTTTTAAAGTTTTATTTTCCACTGGTTGTTTAGATTTGTAGTATAGATTTTAGTACTGGAACTTGAATGTGAAAGGGATACGATCTGTATTAAGAAAGATTTCTTTCTGAATAATATACATTCCCTATATTTGTAACCTGATGTACAATTAAAAACCTTATCAATGCATTGTTATATTGTATTGCTACATAAAGAAGGGTTCTTGAGAGTAGGAAAGCCTACCCATAAGATAGATACTCCGTAATTGATTATGTTTTGCAAGTCATCAGGACATAAGCTTCTGCAACCCAACATTACACAGGTTTCTGGTTTCACCTGGGAAATTTGAAAGCCCAGTTTTTAGTTGATCCCATCCCTGAACAATAGAGTCTTTGTTTTCTTTTCCTCATTTAGACCCGTCTAACTCCAATCCCTTATTAATTTTGAATTATGCACCATTTGTTTCCAGGAAAATGTTTTCTGATTTTCTTGATTGTTTAGCACCTGTTATATCTACTAGGAAGCACCGGTTAGAAGACAGGCAACCTTCACGGCGGTGTGTTCAACTTGCATAAGCCTGCTTTTAGGTTGAAATTCCACAAGCAGCGAGAACTAGATCATGACCATCATAGCAATAGTTTCTGTCGTCCTTTAAGTCCTCATAGAACATAAATCAAGAGAGTCTAAGAATTAGAGGGGCATTGAGAAATACATGTTGCTACCACTTCAATTGCAACTTGATTTCTTGCTGGAGTCTTCTGCCTTGAACTTTCAACTTAAGATGCTCTTCAAGTGAAAGATAATGCCTTAGTGTACTTTGAGGAAACACCAAAGAACATAGATTTATGTCAGGATTCAGGATAGAAGGCATTTTCAGAGCATTTAAGGCAGAAGGCATTCCAAAGTAATTGGGGATTTACATATGCATCTATTAAGTTGTTTCAGGGGAGGTCCATATTAAGGGACAAGCCACCATGGGTTGCACGAAAACTAGAATGGAACCCGGGTCAACGTGTTACCCCCTCCCCAACTCCTATTTCAGCTCAGTTTCCTTGAGTCGGTTTGGACCAATCAACCAAGAAGCTCACAGTGAACGCAGACCTTACCTCTTGTTGTCATACTATACATAATACATAGTAGTAACAAATGCATCATCTCATCTTACGGTGAGCTTTTCACCCATTGTCTGAGGTGTCTAGGAGACCGGAGACCCAAACTGACGTAAGTTGTTTATGCTATCCCTTAAAATTTCAAAACGGCACTTCACATACTCTAAAATGATTTGCCAGTAAATTGATGTGTCTCTCAGAAATTTCATACACTGGCATTGTCATTATAGTGTTTAGTTGGTCAAGTTGTTCTCGGCCCTTTGGAGCTGTCGGTGAAACTTGCGCATAGGAACCGTTTCTCGGAGACAACAGAGGTGAGCTACCACTTTTGATCTCTCCATGTGTGTTTGTGGGTGCTTGATGAATCTTAAACAACATTTGAGCTTGATCTTTCCCAATATGACAATCCTTTCAAACACCATCAAAGCTCATGGAGTATCATTTTTTTCCGTATATTTCTGCACTCATATTGAATGAACCTCCTTCAATCATCAAATGGGCCCTTAAGAAAATTTTAGCATCATAAATTGATAAGATCTCAATCAAAGAGGATCACATGTATACTGTATAGTGTACACCAGAGCCGTATCAGCAATCATGTTCTTACTGATAACGATGGTCACATAATTTCTTTGAAGAGGAAGAGAAACCATTTTTTGAGGGATAAATAGGATAAAAATACTCGGGTACTTGTTAAGGAATACAAAGTTGTTTGAAAATAGAGTGGGAGAAGTAATGAGAAGCCATAAACAAGGGGTGCACCAAAAAATGTATCTCAAGTTGTATCTCAAAAAATGAACTGACATTTAACGGTTCATATTGGCACAAAATGTTAATTCACTTTTAAAAATTTGCACTTATATTTTTTGTCAATGTAAATCATCACACTAGCACAAAATGTTGGTGTATGCCTTTGAGGCATAAAATAAGGTACAAATTTCGGTGCACAAATAGCTTAATCCAGCCAAAAAAGATGTAGAGAGTATTGAGAGAAGTGAATAGATAAGAATTTTAAGTGTTCCTATGATTGGCACAAAAAATGCACATGATATGTAGGCCAAATACAGAGCATCATTTCATAATTGGAGATTTGGAGTAGTCATTGACACTTCTAATAGTCTATGTCAATCCACATTCTTTTGACAATGAATTTGAGTGTCATGACATCCATTTCCATTTTCGAGGATGCATTGTTCGATTCTAAAATTCTAGGGAATGGAATTGCCATTGCCCCCTCCGGTCTCGGTCCGGTTCCCCAACTCTCTTCTTCCAGCACGGTACCCGGTTTGGTTCCAAAACTGCCGTTACTTGTTTCGAATTGAAATCGTGTCCAACCCTACTTCTAGATCGTGGTTTAAGATTAGTTCTAAATTTGAAGAACTTGTAAACGTTTTTTAGGAAGTTCTACCTCAGTCATAATAAGTTTACGGAGTTTGTTTTTTCCAGAATCAAATTGGATAAATTTTAATGATCAATTAAATAAAAATGATACTAGATATTGATATAAAAATAATAATTTATTTTATTTATATACAATCTAATTTTTAATTAATTGATGATCAAGATTTGTTCAGTTTGAGTTTAAAAAGTCAAATCGGACAAGCTCATTGGGATGAAGAGACCAAATTAGAGTGGATACTCCATACAATTTAAATACTCTGAGACTTAGCTCAGTAGTTAAGACCTACTTATTTTTTTAGTTTATAAATCATTTATAGATTAGCTTACAAACACAGAGAAAATCAATGATTTATAAATTAAAAACAACTTATAATCAAGGTTTGACCAACTTATAAATATATAGAAAACTAAAACATGTTTGGCACATCAAAATAAAATTTGATGTTTTATATCAAATATTTTCCTCGTCTCAAATTAAATTGCTTGCTTATTATTTACATAGTCAAATTTTATGCTAACACTAATTTTGTAGATCTTTGATGTAGTCTTTAATGTAATTTAATTTTTTAATCTTATATTCTTTTTTAAATAAAATGATTTGAAAATAGTTCCAGTCAAACATCATAGACATAAACATAATAATTTAATTGGGATGAATGGAATAATCGTGGCAAAAAAGATACTGCTCAAATTTTTATACTGTATTATAATTGAAGAAACAGAAAAAACTTTTTATACTTTAACATGTGATTTACAATTTCACATGCACGCAGTGGCGGACCCAGAAATTTTGGTGAGTGGGTTCATATTTTGTGCACAAAAAAATGTTGATATTTGTATAACAATAAATTTAAAACAAGGTAAAAAAGTATGAATAAATAGCATTCTGAGATAAATATTGCAAGTTGTATGTAATATTTTCGAAATACTGTGTAAAAAATATAATACGTTCATTGCTTTAACCAAAAAAGAAAAAAAACTAAACAACTAAAATAATAATTCTAGAAATTTCTTCAAATACTTAGTATGGAGTATATTTTAGGAATCTTTTTAAAACAATTAAACTTGTTCATACATTTCAAAAAAAATTGAACATCTTATAATTAAGTTTCGTAATTAAAGTTAAGTCACTTTTCCAAATCTAAAATAATTAAAACATAAAATTCTACACAATTATAAAAGGTGTTCTCTATTCCATTTTCAAAAAAATAGCACCTAATCACATATAAATATACTCTTCTTGGATGCCCTTAGTCTACATATAATACCTAATTACATACTACTACTAATAAATAATTTTTTTTGGAGTGGGTGCAATTGACCCCACTTGCACAACCGTAGGTCCGCCCCTGCATGCAGGCATGACCGCTTCAAATCTTGTACTTGAAATTTTAATGTTTTTTAAATTAATGACAATGAAGTTTAAACTTGTGACATCGTGGTCAAAGAAATTTTTAAATCATATGTCAACGATTTATTTAACATCAAAATCAACTAAAATTTGAAGTTCAATTGAAGGGGGTAGTAAATTTGGATTAGGATAATGAAATGAATAAGATAGAAATCATTAGTTTTAAAAACAAAGATACTGCTCTATATAGTGCCAAAAAAGATACTCCTCTATATGAAATACCACCACAATATTAAATCGTGGCACTCCACAATACCAACACTCAGTTTGGGAATAAGATATATGATTTCATATTTCGGTATAAATGAAATATTTTAGCTCTAAGATTTTCTTTTAAAAATTTCTTATGAGAGGATAAAGTATATGTATATTGTCTAAAATCTACAGAGTAATTTTAAAAGTGCAAATTGGTCAAAGAATTAGTTTAATCAAAAGCTAGAGCTTATAATTGCAGAATCAGAAGAAACTTTTTATACTTTAACATGCGATTTACAATTTCAGGCCTGACTGCTTCAAATCTTGTACTTGAAATTTTATTTTTTTTAAATTAATGACAATGAAGTTTAAACTTGTGACATCGTGGTCAAAGAAGTTTTTATATCATATGTCAACGATTTATTTAACATCAAAATCAACTAAAATTTGAAGTTCAATTGAAGGGGATAGTAATTTTGGATTAGGACAGGTTAGAGTTTAATGAAACAAATAAGATAGAAATCATTAGTTTTAAAAACAAACATTTGTTTTAGGGCCTATTTAGTAATACTCCGTAACGTTTTTAAAAAGACTATCGACAGATAATGTTAGCATTTTCAAAATTAATTTGCCCCGTTAGAATTTTACCCGGAGTATAAAAATGGTATGGCTATTTCAAAAGCTTTTTCATTGGATAAACGGTCTTTCAATAGGGGACACATCATTTACTCCCTCCTTTCACCAAAAGACCAGAGACCAGCAGCACTCCGGCGACAGAATTCACGGATAGCCTCCAGACTCCGGCGGCGGAAGAACAATTCAGAGTCCAGCGGGGCGGGAGATTCGCTCTTCACTCAAGCATCCAGAATTGGTATTCATAAGTCATAATTCGTATTCATTCTTCATTCTTGGAATAAATTAAAATTGAATCTAGGGTTAATTGAATAATTGTGAATTGTTATTTTCTTAATTCATATTCATTCTTCAATTAATTATTTTAGCATATTAAATCTGGGACTATTTTTTAATTGTTACTCGGGTATATTGTTAATTAATAATCTTTGCTAGAATTATTTTTTGCCATTCAAAAAAAAATCTATGCTATGAAAAAAATATGATTTAATGTGTTCTTCATTTGATATGCAAGAATAATACTACTATGATTTTGTCATTTACTCATTTTGTTGAATTGCTCATTTAGAAAACAGTGAAGCATCAATTTTTTTTAAATCTCTACCTAGTCCACACTTGTTACGCGTGGTAGTGTAAAAAAATTGAATTCGAATTGAGTATTCGCGGATATATTTGAATAATAATTCGAACTGAACATGGATAGTTTTTATGATTTGAGTGCGAATCGATTATACTAATATTCCCTTGAATTCGATTCGTATGCATCCCTAATGGAGGACCGGGGAAAAACACGGTGTTTAAAATATAGTGACTTTGATACCATTTAAAGTGCATAAAAATCTATAATAGAAAGGTGCAGGAGGAGAAATATTAGAATCCTTTAACTTCTCTTAACTATGAGATAATACATGATGATAAATAAATTATTGAAGATAACCATAAGCTCTCGACTTTAGGCTTGATAAAGGGTACCTAACTTTTTTTTTCTTCCCAAATATTTTCTTCATTACATTTTACAACTACCTTTGAAATAAAATTATGCTAAAAAATGAAAAAATCTACTTACTTTTATCAATTAAATAATTGAATGAAAAGTCAAATTGTTGGTGCCATTGAAGTACCAACACCTTGATAAAAGAATATTCTCAATCTAGACATCTTCTACCGGTTGAAGTAGCAGAGTCCTGAACTAAGTTGCATGGACACGGGGTTGAGAATGGGGAAACACCAATTTTTCAAAAATTTTCATAAAAAAATGGATGTGAACATCCCCGTGTACCCAAACAGGAACATTTCAGAGACGGGAAATAACATTTGCTTGGAGATTCCGTGACACGTTGGTCCTTAGAGGGCAGTGTAAGGCACTCCCGAGATCTAACTTGGCAAGCAGCCAAGCACAACAGGTGAGAAAATACATCATTCAATTTCTAATGCACATGCGTCAAGCACTAATTCCTTCACACTTATATGTTTTCTGGAAATGACAATTAAAGGGATGATGAATTGGATTCAGCGGAAGATCTATCTCTACAATGTCACGTTTGGTCTCTACATGCTCGACTGGTGGGAGCAATGCCTCTTCAGTATCCTCGATTATCACTAGCTTTTGTTTGGTTTTTTGTTGTTAAGGTCGTCTCTTTCTTTAAGTTGGCCATCTTTTGAGGTTGATCCCATGCTCTCCTAAATTGGAGGAATGAGTTTGCTATGTTCATAGATGTGTGAATTTGGAACCTCTGGAACCTCTAACATGTTAAAGATATTCTGGTGGTCGTGTTGCTGTGGTTTGTTTGTACAAGGTGTTTCGACTTGCTCCAGAGTTCTCTGAAAGGTAAAGTCCGCCGTGCCCCAAACACAATCTGGTGCTCCTCCCTATTGGTCTCATAAACATTCATTTTTCATTGCAGGAGGTGTGTAGAGCAAGCATCCATCGTCTCTTCTTATGTCTGTTTGAAAAAGTACGTGCATACTCAAATCTGGTTTCTCACTTCTGTACGGGTTTCTTCTGTCCCCTTTTGTTTTTTTATTTTCTCCTTTGCATCTTTGTGTTTGAAATGGTTGTCAATTTTGATTGCCAAGCGTCTACAAAAACTTGTCCCCGTCTTGTTTTTCCCATAATTCACGCTCCCCCATAAAAATGGACCATGGGAGGGTCGCTCTACCCTCCCTCTTCTTGACACGGATATTGTTAACACTATGTTTGGTTCAAGAAATTTGGAAGGAAAAGAAAAGAAAATGATTTTCTCTCATTTTCCTCACCAAAATGGAAGGAATTTGGTTTTTCCTCCACTTGGTACATTTTGTCTTCTCATTTTCTTTTCCTTCCACTTTTTCTTTCTTTTCACCTCTAACCAAACAAGAAAAACGGTTTTCCACTTCATTTTCTTTTCTTTTCCCTTTCAAATTCCTTGAACCAAACGTAGTGTAAGTGTCTCGATGCCTCTGTGAAGAGCGGGTGAAGAGGCAAAGGACTAGGCGACCATAACTTAATTCCATAGAAATAGGCTTTGCTCCATTGTACTACGTCCCGTACCATATGGGAAGGCTTCATATTTTACAACCAAAAGACTATTTTACCCTTTTGCAATATTTCTTTTATATACGGAGTATGTTTTTTTGGTTTTATTACAACACCAAATGCCAGGAATGGAAAGTCAAGTATTTTTTTCACTTTGCATATGTGACAGAGGAAGTGTATCTTAATGAGAGGATCCCTCATGGAAGGAATATAAGGTGTAGGATGGGAAATAAAGAGGAATAAGTAGGGATGTTTATAAAACAATGTACAATTAATGAAGTACTCCTAAGTTTCTTAATGTACGATTATTAAAGTACCCATTAAGATAATGATGTGGCATCGGAGTAAAATTTAAGAAGAGTTTGTACAAATTTTTCGTAGATCATGTAGGAAAATTAAAAAAGGGTGGGGTTCCGTTGGCCTCTTGCAATACTAGTCAAATCTCCTTCTTCGTTGCCAATTTCATTTACGGGCGTTTTCATCGACGACAGCGTCATCCCAGCATCGTCGTTCTGATATACTTCTTCGGTGAATTGGGTAAGTAAAGATGGTGGGCGGGCTTGGGAGAGAAGTTGTGGGAGAGGACGATACAAACTTAAATGAAGGGTAAAAGGGGTTAGTTGGACACCTTAAGTTTTACTAAAAAAAGAAACTGGACAAAAATACTGCAACGACCTGAAAAAGAAAAGTTGATAAAAAGACTGGAACGGAGGGGAGTATAAAACATGGATTAAAGACAAGTTTGATATGATATGGTTGAAGTAGAAGAAAAAGTTTAAAAGTGATTGAAAAGATGGTAATAATTAAATAGGTTAACTAACCTAAAAAGCAGGGATGATTACGTTTTTTTAAACGAGGGATGAGTAAGTTTGAAGATGGGAGAAAGTATAAAAATAATTGAAAATGTAAGGTAGATTATGTTAAACAAGGAAGTGGGACTTTAGTTTTGGGGGGCTTAATTTTAAAAATATGATTTTAACTTTATGATGAAGAGAGTAATTGTTTTATCCAAATTGGGAGGGACAAAGTTTCTATTCTCTTCCATCCCATCCCTCCAAATTGAACAAGCATCAAGTGTAGATTGCATTTGAGGATAAAGTAGAGAGTTAATTTTCCATGCTCTTAAAATTCATAAATGATTTACGCACGTCACTATTTAAAATTTATGAGAACTTTTAATTATTTGTGTATTTTCATTAATTATTTGATGAAATAAAGTATTTTTGTCACCTATTCTTTTGTAAAATTTTTGATGAACTTTTTAAACATGTAAGCTTTATTTTTTTAGTTATTTACCAATTTTTAAATAAAATAAATTGAAGAAAGATGAGATTTTACTTTGTTTTGTGTAAAGTGTAAATCATTTAAGGATGAAGAGAGTATATTAAAGTTCTAGAAAATGAATAGTGCTGTCTATTTATTTTATGAAATGATTACTAAATGTTAAAACAGATATAATCTGGTCATGCAAATAATGAATGAACATTTGATTTTCATACAGGGGAAAATATACTTTTCCCATCACATTGGCGGAAAATAATTTTCTTGAAAATTATTTTTCAGGAAAAAATAATTTCAAAAAAAAAACCATCACATTTTTTTTTAATTATTTTACTGGAAAATGTTCTTCAAAAAGTCATTTTCAATTGTTAAATTTGGGTGTTGACATTTAAAAATGTATTTTAATACAAATTAAAAGTACTTTAGTAGCATGGAGGCATGTGACCCAAAGTGACAAGTGAGACTCTGAGAGGGTGGGGGTGTTAGCGCGAAGTGGTGGGGAGAAGGTAAAGCGAGGTCGCACCTGACTACGAGTAGTAGGAAACTGTGGGGTGGGGAGTGAGGCCGGGAGGGTGATTATAAGTATGGGGTCGGGCGACTAGTGGACAAAGAGCAAGCGAATGGGAGGGCGGGGGAGGACAAAGGGGAAGGCTCTAGCCATTTGCAAGTGGCGGGGTGGAAAGGAGTAGGAGTAGGCGGTGGCAGGGTGAGTTGAAAGAGTGATGGTTAGGACTTAGGAGGGGTGTGGGGTGTAGAAGCAAGGGTAGAGTTAGGGGGCGTGACGATAGTTGTTAGAGGGGTAGGAGAAATTATTTTTCCTTCGTTTGGATTTTTTAAAAATATTTTTCTACCATTTATTAAATTTCTAAATGTAGAATTAAAATTTTATAGATATTTCTAACCAAATGCACCCTTGAAAAGACTTCTATTCAAAATAAATTTATGAAACCTTTACTCCCTTTATCTTAAATTGTTCGTCAAATTAAGGAAAATGAGGCGAAATTTTAAACTTTTAAAATTTATTTTATTAAAGATTAGTTTAAAAATAAAAATAAAATTTATAAATTTTAAAAATATGTCAATTTTTTTAAAGAAAACATTAAAAAAATATTTTATTTTATCAAATAATCAGACGAAAATACACAAAAAAATACGGAGTAAAAAATTTCATGATATTTTATTAGTGAATTGTGAATTATTTTTGGGGAGAGTAGAATAGGTAAATTGCATTTTTTTTCTTGCAAAATGGGATTCTGGTTCACAAGTTGCAAAACATCCATAGGCCGCGGATCGGCCTTCTCCTCCACACAACACCCATTTCCTACTCCAATAAAACGGATTCCGATTCAGTGATAGCCATCACCGTGTTGCCTCCTCTCCGACGCCGGAAACACAACGGATTTCTCCATAATCTGCAAATATGTGGGAGCGAGAGCCTGAGTGCGACGGTGAGAGTTCGATGGTAGGAGCGGTGGTCCCGGCGGTGAAGTCTTCGGGACCGAGCGGTGGTCGCCGGTGCGAGGTGGAGCCGTCAGAAATGGAGCCTGAGCTAGACAGAGAATTTCTATGTCCGATATGCATGCAGATCATCAAAGATGCGTTTCTGACTGCTTGCGGCCATAGCTTCTGCTATATGTGCATCGTCACTCATCTCCACAACAAGAGCGACTGCCCTTGCTGCTCCCATTACCTCACCGCCGCTCAACTCTACCCCAACTTCCTCTTTGACAAGGTTTGCCGCCCTCATCCACCTCCCTACATCATTTGCCACTAGCATATGCTGTATATGAATATAAGATTGATGGACTAAATAATATTTTAGTGATTGATACAAGATTATTACATCCATGGCTACTAGCACTGAAGTTGATTGCTCTTTTTCATTAAGTAATTACTAATGTCATAAGAGTGTTGGTGTGGTTTACATCTTGAAATAGTTTCTTCACAGTGCAGCATTTTGTTAAAGGTTTGTCTGTACCACATTGTAGCTATTGAAGAAGACATCTGCACACCGAATGTCAAAAACTGCATCTCCTGTAGAACAATTTCGTCATTCGTTGGAGAAGGTGAGTTTTGATGTCAAATTGATTGTTATCTTTTCTATATGTTTTAATTGTTTTATATTATTTCTATGCCATAAAATGTGTAACTTCTCAACTATAAATATCTTTTTTTCTTCAATTTTCAATTTAAGCTTCAATTTAACAATTGTTGCCCTTAGACAGGGTTGTGAAGTTACAGTCAAGGAGCTGGATGTTCTATTGTCAATATTGGCAGAAAAGAAGAGAAAACTAGAGCAAGAGGAAGCAGAACGAAATATGCAAATTCTACTCGAGTTTCTACACATGTTAAAGAAGAAAAAAGTTGATGAGCTCACTGAGGTTTGTGGTTTTTGACTCATAACCATCATCAGTTCTTTTCAAAGCTGAAAAACAAATAAGGATAGGAGCATAAAGGGGTGGAAGCAAGGAAAAGAAGAATATTTTACCGAGTAGTGAGAATACCTGATTTGGGATTATAAACAAACGATTATACTGTTGGAGCCCTTCATATTTTCAATCTCTTTAATTACTTATGTCTCCACTTAACATATATTCTCTTATTCTCCAAAGTCTCCGAGGACCTTTTTTCGGTTTCATCTGTTAGACTAGTTGACTTGCTTTTCATGATAAGAAAGCTATTCCCTAAGTGTTTTTTTGCTGTCTTCTAGATAAAGAATGATCTCCAGTACATTAAGGAGGATGTAAATTCAGTCGAGAGACATAGAATAGAGCTGTACCAGGCAAGAGACAGGTACTCAATGAAACTGCGAATGCTTGCAGACAATCCCCTGGGTGCAAACTCCCGGTCTTCATCAGCAGATAGGAACACAATTGGCATTTCCCCCTCTTCCCGTGCTGCACATGGAGGACTACCATCTGGGACCTTCGTGCACCTAAAAAAGGATGGGGCCCAAGGGAAGGATGTTTCTGTCACTGAATTTAATTCACAACACATGAGCCAATCTGGACTGGCTGTTGTTCGGAAAAAACGTGTTCATGCACAGGTAATTGTATTCATGACTTATAGAAGACCATCTAAGTAGGATCTGCTTCCATCACTGAGATTTTTGTATTAGTCTCTGGATGTATAGATTGTTACTCCCTGTGTCCCTCTATTTTTGGGACATTGCAGTGACACTTAAATTAAGAAAAGTATAACCTTTTGCTTGATATTGATCATTGATGTGAAAAAAGTAGAAATGAATATGAGCCAAGCAAATAATACAGAGTACTAAATATGGTTGGGGACAAACATAGTGGGACATACAAACATGGTGAGAGTGGACAAAGATGTGAGATAGGGGGAGTATCTGTTAAACAGCTGACATTCTAAATACAATCATCCTCAAACTGCTTCAAGCTGAACCCACCATCGTCCTATCTATGGTAGATTATTTTGGAAGAATTAAACTTATTAGTTGACAAACAGGGGGGAGATTTTATTTACAGTTTACACTATGACACTACATTATCTTGGACTCTTGGTTAATTATAAACTCATAATTTCTTTGGGGCAAACCCAAATTATCTACATGCTAACTGGGATTAAGTTGCCTTGTATATATTAAGCATTATTCAGTAGAAATGTTGTCAGTCTTGTTCCAGTTGTGTAACTTCAGGCAATAAATTGAAGACAGTTGTTGAGGGAGGGATTATATTACTGAACTTCTTTTGATGCTTGTGAAGATAATTATTTTTTGTAGTGCTTTCAACTTTGTTTTTCTCATTTCTTTTATCTTTTGACTGCAGTTCAATGATCTGCAAGAATTTTACTTGCAAAAGAGACGTCAGTTGGAAACCCACTTACAAGACAAAGATAAGAGGAACCAAAATGTGATGAGAAGAGAAGGTTACAGTGCACCTTTGGCAGATTTCCAGTCTGTACTGAGTACATTCACACGCTATAGGTAAAGTACCCAGTTACCTTCTCTAACCATAACTATTTTCCGAAGGATCTCGGGTGTTGGATTCTCTGACTAATATTCAATTCAAATTTTCACATCTTTTTGTTTGTTTTTTTACTTTTAATGCAGTCGACTAAGAGTCATTGCTGAGATACGACATGGAGATATTTTTCACTCAGCTAATATTGTTTCAAGGTAAGTTGATCTATTTTTCAGTAAAATAACTAGTTATACACATGGAATGGTTCACCCAACACACTATATTTGTAATATGAATGATTTTGGGGCTATTGCCTAATTGTATTTTATTGTCTTTGTACTACCCTGTTTTGCTCTTGTGATGCCCTTTTTCGTATCTCAAATATTCTTAAGGTAATAAATATATATATGCTAATTGCAGCATAGAATTCGATCATAACGACGAATTGTTTGCTACGGCTGGAGTTTCACGACGCATCAAAGTATTTGATTTCTCTTCGGTAAGCTGTGTATTCTTTCCTTGCATATATTAGTCAGTCTTTTTCTTTGTTTGTTTTGTTCACAAATCATCAGGAGATTAGCTTTTGAGAAAGCACTGCTGCAGTGCTGCTTCATCGTTCACTACAAAAGCAAAAAACTCCAACTTCACAAAAATGGAAGAGATAATACACACTATGTTGTACACTCACTGTGTTTTTGTATTAATTTTAATGATACTAATAATAATCATCATCATGCTGCACATTTAAATAAGGAGTATTCCTTATTATTTAAGCATGGAAGAAGGGTTGAGAACATTTGTTAAGAGATGCTTTAGATCATTGAGGTTTAATGAGCATATGATGCATCACATAAAAGAATGGAAAAAGGAGATATTTGTGGATGGTCTAAGTTGATTTTCTATCGATTCATGTAGCTGACTCAATTGAATTGGGATTATGGTTTGCTTTTTGTTGTTGGCAAAAGAAGATACCTTATCTTTCCCTTTCAAACAAACAACAACAACAACAACCCAGTTGAATCCCAATCCCACTACAGTAGGGTCTGGGGAGGGTGTGTGTACGCAGACCTTGCCCCTACTCGGGAGTAGGGAGGCTGTTTCCAAGAGACCCCCGGCTCAACCTGCACAAAAATATGGAAGGTAACACAGTATAACACAAAAAAAGAAAAGAAGTGTAAATCATCACTCCTTCGTAACTTGTAAGAAGGTTGTGATAGTAAGGGAATCCCATTCAAAACTTTGTCTCTATGCTTTTTTTGCAGGAATGAATTTATAGCGTTATTTTTTAGGGAAATAATTAACACAGTTTGGATTGAGGTCATGATGGTGATAATTTTCTTATACTCTCCTTGAATACTGGTAAATACGGACCGAGCATTTGTGCCCCTACGTTTTTTTGCTTTTTTGAAAATAAAAAACTAACAATGGCATTGTTACTTTGGTACTCTGCATTATTAGTGTATATTTGTCAAACATATTTATGTTAAACTCTACTTGACCTCTCATTGTGGTTATTGCGGTGGTTGCATCATCAATGATTTTTTTAATTACCCAGGCATTATGATCATAATTTTTCCCACCAGTCCAGACTCCAGTGACAGGGTCCTTTTTGTTTGAATTATAGGTTGTGAATGAACCTGCAGATGTGCATTGCCCTGTTGTGGAGATGTCAACTAGGTCCAAACTTAGCTGCTTGAGCTGGAACAAGTACACTAAAAACCACATAGCCAGTAGTGATTATGATGGAATTGTGACGGTTTGGGATGTGACAACAAGACAGGTAAATGCATTAATGTTTCAAATGATAAATTTAATCTTTTGCCTTTGTTTGGGTTGGACTACCGTGGGAGTATTAAGATTTTCCATTTCAGAGGAGGAGTAAGGGGTGGGGTGATATATATTTATTAGTTTATTCTCACATTTACTTTATTGGAGAGTAGGTGAAAAAGGAATTTTTTTATAGACATGTACATGATTTAATTAAACACAAATGGTGTAGTTATTTTCTAGTCTACATTTAATGATCTAACAGATATAGATAAATTTGTTTTTTAAAATCAATCCTTCCCTCCTCTCCCATCCCCTCCGAAAAACCCCAATCACGCAAGCCTTAAAGCTTTGCACTTGTACACGAAGAGAACTATTTAAGTCATGGAGTATGCACTTGTGTGTATCTATGTTACAATGTTCTTATATATAATTTTATTTTTCTTACATATAATAACATTTAGAGTGTGATGGAATATGAAGAACATGAGAAACGGGCGTGGAGTGTTGATTTTTCTAGAACAGATCCCTCGATGCTTGTATCCGGAAGTGATGATTGTAAGGTACTGGCCTGACACTTCTTACTCTTTCCAGTTTGGTCCTTAACTGTTGGTGCAAGTGGTTTCTAAATGCCAATAATAGCTTGACTGTGAATTTGAACGATGCTCATGCTGCATTGAATTCTTTGAGCTAGAATTTGGATTTAAGGAATTGAGTTGTATTTTTGGAATTCAATTCTACAATTCCAAACATTGACATTCTAATTTTAGGTCATTTGGATGGAAATCAAAATATAAATAGAACGAGAGTTTTTCCTTTTCTGATTTGAGTCAAATCCAAATCTCTTTGAAATTTCAAACATAATTCTAATTCCTATTATCTGAACAAAACTTTATAGAAATCAATTGCAGCAATTTAAAAAACATTTTACAATGCCATTTCAGGTTAAAGTCTGGAGCACAAAGCAGGAAGCAAGTGTTATTAATATTGACACGAAGGCAAATATATGTTGTGTGAAATATAATCCCGGATCTAGTTATCATGTTGCGGTACGTAATCTTATCACAGTCATTGTGTATGCATGTGTTTTTCGGGCGGTGGGGTGGGGGTGAGACCCATGAGAGGTTAGAGTTGATGCCTGATATCTTTCAGATTAATAGTCTTTATGCGATCCATATGCAGGTTGGATCAGCGGATCACAACATCCATTATTATGACTTAAGAAACACCACCCATCCGGTCCATATTTTCAGCGGCCACAAAAAAGCTGTTTCCTATGTAAAGTTCTTGTCTAATCATGAGCTTGCATCAGCATCAACTGACAGTACTCTTCGACTATGGGATGTTAAAGAAAATTCAGATGTAAGTAAATTCTCTACTATGATACAAGTAAAATCTTTCACATGGCGCCCATATTGGGAGATGCTTCCTCTGTTTCTGCTGCTACGGAGTATATGAGTTTAGGCATATACATATGTGTGTTTGTGTTATTTTATTATTGCAGTTTTGCATATATAACATCTTTACCCTACTGTAGTGGGATTCAACTGGGTTGTTGTTGTTGTTGTTGAACTCTACTCTGACTTTTCCTCATTAATTGTGGAATTTATCAGCAACTATTAGGAGAGTTACGTTACGGCTTAGCAAATTTCATAATTCACACTTTCCAATTACTCCTCTTTGGTTTTTTGAAAATTAAATGTTCAACATTCTTTAAAAAAATGTTGTGGAGAAGCAACTATGGGGTTCTCAAATGTTTTTATTAAAAAATTACACAGGTTGACAGAGAGGGACTAGAAAGGAATCTATGTAAATTACTAGGATGAATGACATTAAGAAAATTGCACAGATTTAAAACAAATGTTACTATTTTCAGTGGTGGAAAGGAATACATAAGCCTTCATTTTAATATAGCCATCAGGACAACTGACATGGTCATCTATGATGCTAACTGATGTTTCTTGCAGGTTCGTGTCTTTAGAGGGCATACAAATGAGAAAAATTTTGTTGGTCTGACGGTGAATAAAGAGTTCATTTCTTGCGGCAGTGAAACCAATGAGGTCTTTGTTTACCACAAGGTTAGTGCCATTTCTTCAAAATAGCTCCAATACCTCGAGTATGCAAAAAATCAACTTGTTTTTAGGAGCCAATTTGATAGAAGGATAACCTGACATAAAGAGTTCACTTTTGTATTTTTCAGCTAAAAGGATTTTTTAAAGTTAAGCTGAATGGGATGATTTCTAAAAGATGATTGCAAATTTCTCTTCATTTTAACAGAAAAAAAATTGTGCACTACCTTTAAAAAGACAAAGAAATAGCAATGCATTTAGCCCTGTTGTCAAATACTAGTGACCAGTGTTACTTGTTAAGATCAAAACAAACCAAAAGAGAGTAGAGTCAAGTAACAAAAACAAATACGGAGTACCCAACAAAGTTTACACATTTTGAACATACTCAATACAATACAAAAGAGTACGGTTAATTCTCACTAGGAGGGTTGTATTACATACTCCGTATTTACCAATGGTAACTATGTAATCTAATGCTTCTAACTTATCAAATGGATGGAAAATACTGTACTTTTATTATTATATAGCTCAAGTTTATTTTTAAAAAGCTTAATCTGTTTATAAAAAGTTTGCCTAGATTTTGCATCAAAGTTTATGAATTGCACAAAAGTAGCAATAGTAGTACTATAAATTGGTACAACTCTCTAGTACTCCCTCCGCCCCCCAAAAATACTCTTTACATGTATTATTTCAAGGTCAACATAATTTTTTTTTCTTTACCTATTTTCATTGATTATTTGGCAAAACAATATAATCACGTCACATCCTATGTATCTTTTGATGTAGTTTTAAAATATATAATTTTTTTTTCTTCACCAATTTTGAAATAAACTGAATTTAAAACAAAAACTTCAGTTAAGCATCGTAATATGAAGTGTCGAGGGTATTTTTTTTGAAACAAAGGGAGTAAAACTTTTCCACGGCTAGCTACTCTGGTGGTGATTCGTCACTGCCTTAATCCTTTGGTGCCGAGAGTAGAGTACTTAAAAAGACAATGACTAATGGGGATTTGGTTGCCACCCTCCACAGGCAATCACAAAACCGGTGACTTGTCATAGTTTTGGCACCCTAGAGGTAGAAGACGGGGACGAAGACATGTCGTCTTTCTTCATCAGCGCAGTGTGCTGGAAGAGTGATAGCCACACGATGTTAGCTGCTAACAGCCAGGGAACCATCAAAGTCTTGGCGCTTGCTGCCTGATCGCCTGCCGTGCCACATGTAAAATTCATCAGAGTAGTAGTGCTTGTTTGGTGGTGAAAACCACAACAAAAGACCCTGGGAAATCTCACAAAGGTTAGGGAAAACAACCATTTTAATCTAATTGTCTGATTAATTGATTCATTAAGCAGTGCATGGTAGCAGTAGTAGCATTACTTTTCCGTCAAACTTGCAAACTTGTATGTCTAATTTATTTAATCTTTGGAGGGTGTAATTCCGCGCAGTTCTGTTGCCACTGGCTTTTTGAAGTACCTTATGGGCTCCGTTCGCAAAATTGATAGTTCACATCCCCTCTAAAGCCATGTGATATGAAGGGCTTGACGGGGGCTTGACAGGGTGTAACGATGGATGGATGATGTGGAGTGATGAAAAAATGTGTGTTATGGTGGATGTGTTGAGAAGTGATGATGTATTAAATTTTGATTGGTTCGAAATAAAAAAAAAGAAAAATAGAGGCAACATTTGTGACCACAATCAAGCCTCACACCTGGGGTCGTGGTGGTCACGCCGTGACGGGGCATGACACCTCCTTCATGCCCATGGGTCAAGCCCCATAACTAATGATCTAAACTCCTAAACCCAGGAACGGCGTCACCCCTGCCCGCCCC